GACCTCGAGGAGCTGTTTTTCAGTATGCCTCGGGCAAACAAGGACGCCCTCGAGTATCTGGGTGTGTTTTTCGTGAAAATGGACTTGTCGGTGCGCCGCGTCACCCAATCCTCAGAGTCGCCAAGTCTGCTGATGCAAGACCTTGCCGGTATCTTTGCTCCGTACCTCCTGCGACCATCGCTTTGGACGAATGCAGACGCGTCGGAAAAGCAACGAACGCGCGTGGTCCAGCGCAGTTTCCTGCTCCACTTTTTGTTCTTTGTCAAAAAGAAGCACAACTTGATGACGCGGTCGGAGCGCACCTCGATGGATTCCACCGAGGACGAGCTTGTCGATGACTTGCTTTTGCGCGCCATCCCTGCATCGGCTCGCTTCAACATGGCGTTCGCTTCCACTTTTGCCTCCGCTCCCTCGGTGCCGCCGTCCCTGTCCGCATCGCTGGTGTCGTCGGGCACGACTGGGGCCTCGCATTTCCACCCGACGGGCCAGAGCTTTGGAGCGGCGTCGGCCGTCACCGACCCTGGCAGCGAGGGCAGTGACAACGACGACGACAATGACCTCGAGAATGTTTCCCAGAGTCGCACCACAACGCGTCGTAATTCGCTCCGGTCAATGACCAGCACGACCTCGTCGGTGAAGGCGCCAAAGTTTGTCAAGCACGCGTTCGTGGAGGTGTGGGTCGACGCCCTGCCAACCGCCCCTTCCGTGCTCTCCGCTCCGCTGCAACGCCTCGTCCCCGCCGACCGCCTGCGTCAACCAGAAGCGACACCATCGAGCGAACAGTCGTCCGTTCGCCTGGTTCCGTTTTTGGTTGCAGAGAACACTCACATGGGTCGCGTTGCTCTCGGGGAGAGCTCGCTGTCGCTCGACGCTGCAGCAAGCCATGCCGTGCGCGCCCTCGATTTCGACACCAAGCGCAAGAAGCGTCACCTGCAACGGCGCGGCACAGCGACGTCTCTGGCTTCCGTCAAGTCCAAGTCTGCTGCTGGTTTGCTCATTCGTGTGCAAGGTCCCGTCCCAACGTTTATCACGCCGGACAGCGAGATTCCGTTTCGGGGCTCCTTCGTCCATCCCGAAGGGTTTGTTGTGCTCCCCCGCCAAGCTAGTCCCACTCCTCCCAACTTGCCGAGTTTGAATAATAGTAATAATCATCGCTCGCAGACCTCAGACGGAGGCACCAACGGCACCAACGGCGCCATCGGCGGTGGCGAGCCCGGCTCGTACCTCGCTCTCCCCGACGCACTGCCGCCGCACCTGCGCAAAACGCGCCCGCGCGCCTCCTTCTCGAAAGTTTCTGCTGCCTTTTCGCGCGATCCACACGATGAAGACTGGGGGTTGGGGCCAATAGAGCATCCAGCCTCTGTTGTCATGGAATCGACGAGCGAAACCAATCCTCGTGCTGCTGTTGTCGAAGCGTCCCTTGTGCAAGCGCATGCCTCCGGTGCTCTTCTCCTTGATCCGTACATGGAAGCGAATGAGGCTGCGACGGCGGATGATTCTGGCGATGCCAGCGACGACTCTGAGAACGAGGACGACTCGCCTGTCGCCGAAGATGCCTCGATGAACGAGCAGGTTGATCAAAGTTATTCGACCTCTCCAGCATTGACAGCTTCGGCCGCGTCTCGTGAAGAAACCTACTCGAATGGTAGCACCGACGACCACATTCATCATCTCATTTCGCTCGACAGTACAGAAGAAGCCGCTGCAAAACGAGCAGCTCAAAAGCAATCCACCATACCGCAGTCGCATCCAGTGGATGATGGCGATCAGTCAACTCTCCCTGCCTTTTCGGTATTATCGCATGAACAAACGGACGCTCAACTCCAGCCTGCACTTGCAGAGCACTCAACGCCGAATCTCCCAGCGGCATCTGGGGCTCGAGTGAAAACCATCCGCCGGCCTGCCTTGGAAACCCTGTCAGAGAGTGTCTCTGCAAGGGGCATTGTCCAGCTCGACTGGGTGCAGGATGCATCCACCAAAGCGCGCACGGCCTTCTTGCAAGACTCGCCCAGCATTGCTCGCTGGCTCCAGGCACCCATTCTCCAAGGTGATCCAGAGCTGATGCCCAACTTTGACTTGGTTGTGTTTGGCGGCATTGGAGCAACAGGCATGGAGAGCGAAGCCCTGTACGACAAGAAGGCGACTGCAAGAATGCAGCGGTACTCTGGCTCGTTTGGCGTTCATTTTGAGGCCCCAGGGCGTGGTCTCGTCCATTTGGTCACGAACATTGGCCACAGCGAGCTTCCTTTGAGCTCGAACGAGTCCGCCCGAGAGCAAGACAGGGCGTGGGGCTCCTCGAGTGAGGTGATGGACCACCTCCGCAATCGCAGCACGAGCGTCAAGACGACCAACTCTGTCCAATTTTCCGTGCACATCGGAGAAGGTGCAGCTGTGCTGGCGTCTGGTGCCGTCGAAACAGACTCGCTGTCTGCACTCGAGCCTCAGCTCGCCGCCGTTGCCGAGGACCTCGACACGACGCTCACTGGATCGCTCAGCCAATCGATTGCGTCGCTGGACTCGTTGGTCAGTCTCGAAGCGGCACCGCCCGTAGTTGTTGTCTCTTCGCTGGCTCCGCGCGAACATCCCGACGAAACGTCCTCCTCGCAGTCGCCGGAACAACAGCCATCGCCGCTCCCAGAACTGCTGCTGAAACAAGCAGACGAGCAGCAAAACGCTCCTCCACACGACCTTCAACCTCACCCCCACACGGAGGCCGTCGAAAGGCCTGCCGATCACACCAGTCCCTCGCCCAAATCTCCAGCCGCAGACTTTAAGCGACCTTCCGTGATGGTGGCCAACTATGACAACGCAATGGCCTTCCCGCGCACCCACGCCCTGTATGCTGGCGATCGTCTGCAGGCAGAATCGGACATTGTGCAGTTCTTCTTGTCCTTTGCCTCGCAAGTGCGCAAGGCCGAGTTCATTTATGACCAACAGTCGGACTTGCTCAACCAAAAGCTCCCTCGGCTCCATGACGGATCGCGCTGCGAGAACTGCGGAGCCGGAATAACGACGCTCAGCTTCTCGCGAAAGGGTCGACGCTCGCACTGCGGCTATTGCGGCAGGCTGCTTTGCAGTGCCTGCTGTGATCGCAACTTTGTCATTCCTGCCCGCATCGTGCAGCGAGGCGACTTGACCCCGCATGTTGTTTGCCAGGCGTGTGAGGCCCACTTGCAGTGCCACTTGTATGCGCCCCTTATCGAGCTCAATGCCCTCAGTGCGGAGGCCATTCTCGAGATTGGCCGCACCAAGGTCGAAACCATGCTGGAAGACTGCGCCATGCTGATGCGCTACATTTACTACCACGTGCTTCCGGCGTGTCCGTCGCGCCAGCTGCTCTTGTCGCTTTTGCCATCACGCATTGTGCCGCTTCTGCTCGTGTACCAGGACTCTGTTGGCGCGCGTATCAGCTTGGCAGACTTGTGCGAGCTCCCCACCCGCCAGTTTGCGGAAATCATCCATGCATACCGGCAGCTGTTTGGTCATCACGTTCAGTACTGCAAGCATTGCTCTCAGCTGAAGCGAGAATGTTGCGCGAAGGAACTGTGCACGCGTCCTCCTCACAGCACCACTCCCACCCCTGTCTCGACTGCTTCTCCGAGCGCGCCATCGTCTGGATCGACGCTCTTGGACCCCACGGCCAAGTCAACAGAACTCATGCTTTGTCCTCGATGCATGCAGTACTGTCACGTTGAATGCTGGCGCGCTGTCGAATCGCAGTGTCTCGCATGCGCGGCCAAGCCCCAAACGAACGTCCGGCTCATTCTTCCGGCAGAGGCGCCCCAGAACTTTGGTCTCTCGGCTCGCAACCGGCTGGCAGGCGCAGCGGTGAGTGTGCCCACGTTGGTTGGCGCAACTGCAGCAGCACCGTCGACTTTAACTGCCGTTCAGGCGGAAGCACCGGACTCTGCTCGGTCGAGCACCACATTGTCTATCGCGTCGGTTCCAGCGACGCAAGCCAGTGACAGTCAAGCCCGTCGCGGGTCGCTTGCAAGCGCAGGTGACGGTGGCGATGCGCCGAGCCTCGCCAGCACGCTTTCCCCAAGTCAGCGCTCAAGCCTTCAGCAATTCAACGTCGCGTCGCCGACGCCGTCCCTACTCGCCGCCCAGCCTCACTCTTTCAATCCGTCCGTCGAAGGAGTGGATCTCTCCACCTTGCCGGGCGAAACACTGCTCTGGGACGTCGCGGTGCACGACTTTTTCAGCGCAGCCTGAACGTTGTCATCCACTCATCCCCTATCAGATTTTTTTAAGTTGGAAAACATTGTCTGTGTTGTGCGTGCTTGTATTCTAGTGAACTACCCCGTTTTTTTCTTTCTGTTTTACAAATCGTCACGAGCATAAATGGTGTCTGACCGAATGCCGAATTCGCTCGTGGATGAGCGAGAATGGGAGCGCTGTTGTTGCTGCTGCTGCTGTTGTTGTTGTTGCTGTGCTCGTTGCTTGGCGGCTTGCTCGAGCACTTGTTGCAAATGCTCGTTGGCCAGGACTGCCATGGCGGCCTTCTGTTCGTCTGCCCACCGCAATACTGCATCCAAAATTGCCTTCTGGCTGACTCGGTACACAAGGGCCTTCCATTTTCGCGACTTGACATCGGCCTTGATCGAGTAGAGCTCTTTGGCGTCCGTCTGTAACGCAATGATTCAGATCGATCAGCATCACGATATTTTTGCAGCGACAAATTTGCAGGCGTCGTCGAAGCGCCAGGCACCCACCTCCCAAGTCGTGTCGCACAGGTTGATTGCTTGCACCGCCAGCTCTTCGATTTTAGCAATGACACGACGCTCATTCGTGTATGACACGACCTTTTCGGCGATCAACGCGCTCGACTTGATTAAATCCAGCTCGTGGCTGTCGGCGAAAAGTACGCGCAGAGTAAACAGTAAATCCGGGTCGATGATTGGATGTTCGAGATAGAACTGGAACTCGGACGTGGTTCTGCAACAGCCAACATCCAATCAGACAAAGAAACAGCAACATCTATTTCATCATGAGAACCACCGCTGAAGGCGGAAACCTTACACATTCAACTTGGCATGAGATAGCACTCGAACTCGCTCGTTGCTTCGAGTCAGTGCTCGGAGAACAGAAGATCCCAAGAGAATTGGGTAAAACTCGTAAGGGTTGCGCGGCATCGCGAGTCCAAACCGAAGCAGCAGCTGGTGGTTTGGAAGTTCGCCAATGTGTCGCACGAGAGGCTCGCCCTTTTTGATTGCTCGAGTAGTTTTCAGCGAAATCTCAAATCCAAGCACTTCCTCTGGATGGACGCCGAGCTGAATGTTGGTCTATGTCAAGGGTCACAGAATATGAGACGAAAACAAGCCAGCACCGATGGCATGTTCCTCGAAAAAGGGGCGCTGCGATCAAATACCTGAACCGGGTCATGGTGCAGCAAGTCTACAAGAGGCGCTAGCATGATTTGCGGAAGAGTGTCGGGGCCGGTTGAAAATGTGAGCGACCGGCTGTCCACAATCATGTAGGCCCACTTGAACATTTCATAAGAATAGTTCCCTCCTGCGAATATGTGGGGGAATGCCTGGAGAGGAGTTGACGAATGGAATGGAAATCAGCACAACCAAAAGTAGGCAGGACGAACTGAATGTTTTGTGGTTTACAGCTAGAAGCCTGGGCGTGGTTGCGTTGTACAGTTGCTGCAAGTGGCGCTCTAGGATTTGAGTTTTGCCTGGTGGTTTTTGTGACGAGAGAAAAAGGAACACAAGTGCGCACTCAGTGACCTCGGAATCGTGTAATTCGCCAAAATCGCTCGAACAAAGCAAAGACTCACGTTTCAGGGGAAGCGACTGAAGAGCGTCTTGCTCTTCGGCAGACCAGAACACTGTACTGTCGAGCGTTTGAGGAAGGCTAGCTGTTTTTGACAAGGATAAACCAAGCGCAATTAATACGACAATCATCCATCTTTTGGCGATCAAACAGTGGGAACTCACAGATCCACTCGCGCCACATTGACTTTGGCTCGTAGCTCTCGTAGAGCAACGCCATTGCCAGTGCGTACGAAGGATCCGGCACGGACATTGTCTTGAATCGGCGGTCGATGGCGAGAATCATTGGATTTTCCAGCGCTGAGCATTTGCGGAATTGAGGTTTGTGAGCATCCAAAGCCTGTCCTGTAACTTTCTGCGCATCATCGATCCCCAACAACTTACTTCGGAGATATGTCTCGAACATGACGAGCGGGGCAGGCACCGTTGCAACCAGCGTCGCGGCTTCGATCGGATTCGACGCAAACAAGTACAGTTCGTCCTGTTGGTTCAAAATGCATTCATGTGAGTGCGAGGCAAAACAAAAATGTCCAGCATTGTGTCTTTGTTTGTTTTCTGAGCCGACCCAGCATCCGACAATCTGAGACGCAGGGCTTCTCTTCTTTACCACATCGTTCAGACCCGGTCGAGCATTGCTGTTGATCTCGAGTCCGGCGTTGTCAATCCACGCAGTCAGTCTCGCGAGTGCACCTCGAGGGGTGGACACTGCAGCCAACTGCGCTGCGGCCGGCGAGAGCACAGGAGGCGGCGACCCAGCGTGGTTGGCTGAGCGTCGGCGTGGCTGTGACTGTGGCTGTGGCTGAGCTCGGTCACGGCGCCCCGCGTCCTTGTTCTGGCTGTCGAGCACAACCCGCTGCTTGGCTTGTTGTCGTCGCTGTGGCGGTGCGGCGGCCGGCTGAGCGACGGTCGTTGGCTGCGAATCCGCAATGTCGCTGCATTGATTGCTGGCCGCTGCATTGCGACCACGGTCACTGCCATCGCCATCGATAGCAGGTCGATCCCCAGCGTCACTGTGTAGCAGCATGGACTCGTCGGCAGCTGCATTGCCAGAGTCAGAGCCAGAGCCAGAGTCAGCGGCATTGGCGACGGTCGTCTGCAGCGCCAGAATGACAGCGAGCAATGCAACAGCCAGCAGCAGCAGCACTCGACTGCGACTGCGACCAAGGCCAAGGATGCTGCTGCAACAATGCATTCGAAACAAAAACGGGGGGCGGCTTGCGTGAGTACTAGAACGTAGATAGAACGAGAGTAACAAAGAAACGACTGAGCTCAGTCTGAGCGCTTGAGATTTCGCATGTCCGCCAAAAAGCATGACAATGGGAGTGCTTATTGACAAAAAACTGGAAGATATGTTCGATGGGGCTTGAAACTGTTTATCTGAGCAGTATCTGAGCAGCTCAGTCTTTTGTTCTCTCATTCTTCTTCATCTCTCTCTTCATCTCCTTCGCTCTCTCCCTCACTCTCTCTTTCTCTTTTTTTTTTCTATTTCTCTGTGCGGATGGGCGACACTCCGCCACGGCGGCGGTCTGGCTTGATCGAGACGCACTTCCACAACAGCGGGAGGAGTGGCGCGCTCAGCAGACCACACGACGCCGACAACGAAGACGCAGACGCAGACGAAGGCGACATGGTGGACTACTCGGACTCTGCTGATAGCAATGACAACGATGATAATAATGATGATAATGATGGAGACGAAGACGAAGATGGCGAAGAAGGGGACGCGGACGACAGGCGGAGGCGACGGAGAGCGGCAGCGGCAGCGGCGGTGAACTCGTCCCCAGCAGCAGCAGCATCCTCACCGTCCACATCATCATCATCATCATTAGCATCATCATCAGCAACGAGCGCAGTGCCAGTGGCAGCGGCGGTCGACGAGTACGGGTCGCCATTCCGGCACCGGCTGCTGTCTGCAGCGAGCACGACCGGGGCACTGCGGCCAATCCAGCGACCGGGCCACGCCGCGCACCACCTCCGCGACCGCGCCGGCAGCACCAGCAGCACCAACAGCACTGGCAGCAGCAGCAGCAGCAGTAGTGGTGGGCGCAGTGGTGGCCGTGGCAGCGCGTCCGTCAACCGCCACGAGAGCTACCGCGTTGCTGTCGGTCAGACACGGCCGCCGCCGCCACAGCACCAGCACCACCACCATCAGCATCAGTCTGGCTATGATCAGCAGCAGCAGGATGGCGATGGTGAGGACGAGGACGGCTCGCCCTCTTCCCCCTCCGCTTCCTCCGCTTCCTCGCCCGCTCCACTCTCTCCGGCGGCGGCTTCGGCATCGGCGTCGGTCGGCTCGTCGTTCAGTCCGCCGTCGTCCGCTGCAGCCAAAATCAGCAAAATCGCTGCCCTTCGACTCGCAGGTAAAAATTAAAAAAAAAAAAAAAACATTAAAAATGCTATGGAATGTTTAAGTTTAGTGAGAAACCAGCGTAACGACAAATTGTTGTGCGGAAACGCAAACAAATCGTCCTACGAAAGCCACTCACTAAAGACAAGAGGGTGGATTTTTTTTTTTCTTAGTCGCTTATTGTTCTTCTATTCTAAGAAATCGTGATGCAAAATAGTTGAATCAAACAAAAAACTCACTGCTTCACATCTGAATGGCTGCTGTTTTTTGTTTTGAAATCACAAATTTTGCTTCAACAAAACACTCCCCGTATACGTACTTGACTTGGCTGCTGGCAGGTCAACGGTCGTCGCTGCGATCCGTCACAAAGGACTCGTTTCGAATTGCAATCGACCAGACGAATAATCCGCTCTTCACGCGCGGCGAGGCAAGTCCAAGTCCGACCAACAATGGAAATGGCATCAATGGCAATGGGCAACAACTACAACCCCACCTCGTCCAGGCACCCCAGCCACGCAGGCGCAGCTCGAGTGGTTCGCACACGTTGTCGTACTTGTCGATGCGACTAGACGAGTCGGACGAGCCGGATGGAGCCGCGGATCGTGATCATCATGATCATCTTCATCATTTTGGCGGGAGCTCTAGCATTGTCGAGGCACTGTCGGAGCAGGTTATGCACGACGCCGAAAGCGATGAGGAACTCGATCGCAGTGCTGCCAACCAGCCGCCTCACTCGTCGCCGTCCGCTGCTGCTGCTGCTGCTGGCCACTCACACCACTCACACCACCAGCACCAGCACCATCACCATCACCACTCTCACCATGGTGGTGGCGGCGGCGGCGTGCACTACCACCGACCCATTAGCAACCAACCACAACTCACCACCATGTCCGCCCAAGAGGCGCGACGCAGGTCTTCGGCAGCATCCAACACCACCATCGCGACGCTGGTGGCTGCAGACGCATTCGCTCCCGTCTCTCTTGCCACGGCCGGGCCGGGCTCGATGATGTCGGAGGAAGAGTATCAAGCAACCAACAGTGTGCTTGATGCGAACGAAGTTCGTCTACGGCGGCGATCGTCGACAATCGATAGTCATGCCAGTATTGAGACGGCCTTGGGCGATGAGCTGCGTGCCCTGCAGCTCGGACCCAACCCAACCGCTCGCGATTTGTCGCCGTTTTCGCAGAGTCTTCTCGGCTCGTCAGCCGTGTCTACTCCGTCTCCGACGAACTTGTTCAGCAGTCTGCGGGTGGATATTGGTGCTCAAGGCGCCGGTTTTGCGCCGGGCTCCCCCTCGGCCAAACGGGAACGGCAACGCATGGAGATTTTCAACGAGATTGCTTCGACGGAGCAGTCCTATCTGCGCGATCTGGAAGTTCTTGAGAGTGTAAGATTGTGCGATATTGTGCGATATTGTGGGCAGGGAAGAAGTGTCTGAACTCCAAATATTCGCTTCGGGATGTTCACTTCTTCGTTTGTTGGTTGGTGCAATGGCACAAAACCCAGGTCTTCATCAAAGGCGTCGAAAAGGCGAAAGTGATATCCAAATACGAGGCGAGCGGTATTTTTGCCAATGCTGCCGAGCTAGTTCCATTGCATATGGATATTTTGAGCGACTTGTTCGAGTTGCAGCGATCGTTTGCAGCGACGGGTGTTGTGGTGATGGATGCGGTCGGGCAAGTCTTCCTTTCGCGGGTACGGGTTTCGTTTTGTCGTTGCTGTTGCGTTTGATTTTTGGGGTTTGCTTTTTGGGTTGTCTCGGTTGATTTCAGGCGAGCATATTTTGCCTCTGCCCTGTCTGGCTGACCCACTCTATATGCATTGATTGTTTCGCTTCAGGCTTCAACCTTGAGTGCCGCCTACGGCAAGTACGTGAGCAACAAGCAGAACGCCGAGCGAGTTTTGGCCTCGTGCAAGAAGCAAAACAAGGCTTTCTCCACGTTTCTCGATGTACGTCTGCTCGCCGTGTTCAAGTGACTGTCTTTTCTTTTGCTTTTTGTTTCTTTTTGACCCTGCTGATTCTGACATCAACTTCCGCTTCACCCGTTCCTTTGGGGTAGACCTGCCTCGGATTGCCCGAATGTCGCAAGTTGGACTTGCAGAGCTTCCTAACAGCACCATTTCAGCGCATCACACGATATGGACTCTTGCTCAAATCTTTGGCATCATTGTCACCGACTGCAGTGTCTCATGCGCATGCCATGCTGGCACAGCAGCAACAACAACAACAACTGCAACTGCGCGGGACGATGCACGTTCGAACAGCCTCGGGGGCGTCTGGCGATGCACAGCCCTCGTCGTCCAACCAAAGTCCAAACCCGGACTCGTTCATGAGCAGTAGCAGCAGCAGTGGCAGCGCCATGCATGGTTTGCTGAGTATGGACTCTGTCATGTCGCTTGCGATCGAAAAGGAGGCCATTGAAGGGTCTGCGCTTGCGCAAGCGCTGCAGGCCCTCGATGCGATCGTTGTGCAAGCGGAAGAGAAGGCGCTTCGTGCAGAAAACATTCAACGACTGATTGAAATCAATTCCTCGACCGACTTCGCCACCCCGCAGCTTGCACGGGACTTTGCGATTGTCACCTCTGCTCGACAGCTTCTGCTCGAAGGCAACCTCGTTCGCCATGTCTCGACGCACGTGTCCCAAAACGTCCATTTGTTCCTGTTCAACGACTACATGTTGCTCGCTGTGACGAAGAAAGACCGGTTCTTTGTGAGCGAGCCACCATTACCGGTGCACGAGCTCGTAATTTCCAACGTTGTTGCCGATGAAGGTAAGCCTCTGCGACTGCCTCTGAAATGGGTTTGTTTGCTTTTTTGTGTCTCACAGGGTCTGACTTGACTTGTTATTCTTCGTTTCGTTTCTCTGTTCTGGGCTGTCGCCATGTTCTTTTCCGCTTTGTTTGTTTGTTTCCCCCCCCCCCCGGTTTAGCACCATCGGCCTCGGCACAACATCGACTGGACGAGATTGCGAATATGCCGTTACCACCCAATCCGATCGTGAAAACCCGCAAGTCGTCAAAATCTCTCAGCAGCGCACTTCCGCCACCGCTACCGAGCCCGACATTGACACGCTCGACGCGAATGCGTGCATCCACCGATGTTGACGCTGCTCTCAAGCCTGGCAGGCAGCAAGCTGCCGCCTCTCCTACTCCAAGTGGCACCGTTCACCCTCTGAGCTCCATCTCTGCTCCAACCCCATCTGTCACTGGGGGCAATAGTTCTCTGCTCGCCTCTCCCTCCCACGGTTCAGGTGTGGCTGGCAATCGGCTCAGCCACTCGAGCGTTGGCAGCAACGACAGCGGCGCGGATGGCAGCTTTGGCCTTGACGACTCGAGCGAGTTCATCTCGCGCTCGCCTCGGGCATCGGTTGTAGTTGCGCCTGGAGATCGTTCCCTTGCGAGCTCGGAAGATGGGTTTGGATCAGTCTCCAACTTGTCCAGCAACAACTCTTTGGGCGGTACGCCCCCAGGCTCGCCTCTACTGGACGACGTGGGTCCTGGCCTGACTCGCGGCAATACACGTCGTAAACTGCCCTTTGCCTCAGAGAGCGCGACCGACATGCGGGCGTCCATGCGCATGCGGCGCGGCTCCCTGTTTAAAAACCGCGACAATTGCTTCTTTGTGGCCCACGTTGGCTTCAAGGTGTTCGAGTTTGAAGCTCCAACCGAGTACGACAAGGTCGTCTGGATGAAAGCCATTGGCCACGCTATCGGAGACCAAATCACCTCACTTTACCGCGGTACTCACGAACCAGCCAGCGCCTCCAATGCCAGCTCTCCCGTCGCCTCCGCGACCACCACGCCGCTGCTGACCCCGCAGCATTCTTCGGCTGGGCTGGTGACCGCCGCCAGTATGATCTCCAGCAACGGCTCGTCGCTGCTGCCAAGCCATTCCACCAGCGCGATTTTTGCGACCACTGCCTACGCGTCCGGCTCGCCACATGCCTCGACCCCGTCGCCAGTGTCCGTTGCTGAGTTGCACTCTGCCCCGCGACCCGCGAGCCTGTCTTCACGCAAGGATCTCATCGAGGAAATTTTCATCGAGTCCAATGTGTAGTGACGGGGCTTTTCCTTCATACTCACATCATTCATAGCTGGTGCTTTTCGAATCGTCGTTGAAGGATTGCTTCAGTTTCTGTATTTTTTTTCTCAAACCAACAAAGCAACAAATTAACAACGACAGATTTCAAACCCGGAAAATACAAAGACAAACTTCATCAGACGGTAGTTTGCAATACCAGTTTGTCTGAGTGGGAAAAATTGGGTTGAACATCAACGCATGCACACAAAATAAAAGAATCAGACATAAAAGCACAATCTTGACGGCGAGTGAAAACCAAACACGACGTGCCTGCATCACGGTGTTGAAGTGGATGGCGCGGAGGAACTGCTTGTAGCATTGCCACTGGAAGAGCTGCTTGGCGCATTGCTAGAGGACCCGGCGGACGAGCTGCTCGAAATGGAGCTGGTGCGATAGATGGACTCTCGCGCGTGCGTCGGACAGACCCAACGAACCTGCTGAGCACAACAGCTCGCTCCAAACCGGCAAAGGACTTGTACTCGTCTTTCTTGGACAAGAAAGCAGCCCATTCCCTTGCTGCCTCTTGGGACGAGTGTGTGACTTCTGAGGAAGCAGCAGATGCGGGCGCTGGTTGATTTCCCTTCGCGCTGGAGCTCTTTTTCTGATCGGCGTGGTCGAGCAATCTTTGCAAGTACGGCAGAGCCTCGAGCGGGTCTTCCAAAGCAGTAATGGCTGAATCAACCACATCCGTTACATCTGGTCCACCAGGAGCCAAACTGGCTACCTTCAAGAACGGACGCACAAACTCAAGCAGGCTGCGAACACGAGAACCATACTTTTTCAGCCACTTTGAAAACTTGGCAATTTCGTAGCCGGGATGACTGTCGATACGATGCCACTCGGGCTGGTTGTTGGAATTCATGTGGGCACACAGCAGGTGCGCAGTGTGGCTTGATTTGTAAAGTTCTTTGAGCTGGAAAACCAGTTCCGGGTCGGCGGTACCACGACAAACAACAAGGGGCATGGTTTGTCCAGCAAATCCAGTTGCATTTGGACTTGACTCGTGAAAAAACGAGCGATTTCGTCTTTCTGCTCCTGTTGCAGGGATTCTGCAGTGTCAAATCTCGAATCCAAAGCTTTGGCAAGCTCATCAATGCGCTTCAAAACTGTGGACTGGATCAGCCGATCAAACTCTACAGGATCAGTTTTGACCGCATTTGGAATCGCTCCAATGATGCCATCCAAAGCGTCATTGAAACGCTGCAAGTCCTGCGCTGACTGAGCGGCAATATTTTGAAGCTGCTGCACTCCAGAGGAAGTCACTTGCTTCTCGACTTCGCGAACAGAATGGATGGCTGCCGCACCAACTTCCTGCAATGTTTGCTTTCCAGATGCAATCAGTTGTGCTGCGACAAGTGATGCAGCTTCCGTCGCTGCTGTTTGGATCTCGCTCGCCGGTGCTGGTTGCGGTTCGAGTTGCCGTAGCGCTTCGACATCCTCCGGCGTGGGTTGCGAAACTGCGTTCAAACGACGCTGCAAAAGCGAGTGGAGAACTGGAAGCCATTCCTCCTTTGGAAACACGATGTGCGTGTGCGAACAAGATAAGTTTTTCATCTTGTCAATCACCGCGTCTCGAACTTGAGTTCGGAGCAGCCACCTGCACGGTTTGTCATGAGGCACCTGCATGGGACAGCGCAGGTAGGTTTTCCACGAGATTCCAGGATACCAATCCGAGCTGAGCTTGTCCAGTATCTCAATCAGAGTTGGAAGCAGCCTCTCTGGATGCTTCCCGCGAGCGGTAAACTCAAGGCGCACATTGGAAGCGTTGCGATGAACACGCAGTAGTGCTCGAGGACCGCCGTAATTGACCAGAACAGCATCTTTCCACGCCATCAAATTGAACTTCCGCTCGTGAAAGCGCACAAGCAGCCTCGAGAAAAACCCCTCCAGCAAAAACTTGGTCTCCATCACAATAGCAACTTCATGCGGCTCGCTCGCTTCAGGCTTCAGAGACCATTTACTAGGGTCGGATTTGTAGGCGGGCAGGTACGAAGGGATGACATAGCGAGTGCCTGCGCTTGAAGCAGAATCGGTTCCAGGCTGATCGGCATCGCTCATCTTGTACAAGAGCTCGTATCGCTGAAGGAGCAGCACAAACTGATCACAAATCGCAGAATCGATGCCCTTCCAAGCGTTTCGAAGCAGATCCTGGCGAGTCACGAGACCATCCTTGACCCATCGATCTTTAGGTTTCTGAGTAATCACTCCAGTCAGGACTGTTTTCGTAAACCACTGAGGGTTCAAGATGACAATATCGTTCATCGAAGCGAGGAGAGTTGCTGGCTGCAGCGCGGGAACATTGGACGTGTCTGGGGTAGCTGAATTGGCGAGACGATGGAAAACGACCCAGCCTTGAAAACGCAAGAGCTCCATGAAAGCATCGATTGCCTGCTCGGTAAGACTCTGTGACTGGCCAAGCTCGACAACTTCATGCCATCGACAGAGGGGTGGTTTGTTTTGGGCGACCAACTGATCGGCTCGCTTTCGTAGAGAGTCTCTGAGCTCAAGGTATTGGCCATCCAATAGCCGATTGTAAAACGGCATGTCGTGTCCCGCTTGGAACAATGCAGTCTTGAGTTCCGGCATGCTCGGGGCTCCCGTAGAGTTCCGCGCGTTGATGTAGACGGCCGAATGCACGTTGAACGAAACACTTGATTCTTGCAAGGTGCTGAGCAGATTGTCAAGATTTTGTTTTTGCTCTTGCTGCCGCTCCGAAGTGTATGACGGATCATCAATGTGGGTTCCAACAAGAATGATATCGGCGTTTGGAACGCAAGCGTGCAAGCTGCGTAGCCAAAAGGCAAGGCGCGAATGGAGTGATAAGTCTTCACGCACGTCAAACAAGACCAGGTAGACTGTTCGTTCACGAAGAAAGAACTGGTGTGAAACCAGATAGACTTCTTGACCAGCGAAGTCCCAAATGATCAAAATCATGGATTCGACTTTTGCACGCAGAACGACTGGCTCGCGCAGAAAGACTGTCTCACGCAGAATGACTGTCGAAATGTCAATACCATCGGTGGAATTGGCAATGCTGAATATATTGGAGAACGCCTGTTGCACGTAACCGTCGGCGATTCCCCTAACAAGCGAGGTCTTGCCGACTGAAGGATCGCCAAGAACGACTACGCGGACTTCATGGCATCGAACAGAACCAGATCGACGCTGGTCAGCAATGTGTCTGAATTTAGCAGGAAAAGTGAGGGCAGAAAGGTTCGTTGGTGAACAACTCGGACGAAGCGTAAAACTTACAATTGCAAGGTTGGATGGATACTGTGGCGCAAGACCGTTTCCTCCACATAACCAATCCGATTTTCCGCCAGACTACCGATTGCACAGTGAGTAAAACAGTTCTGGGCTTTCAACACTGAAACGGCTTACTTGAGATTTTGCAAGGTCGTATTCTTTTGGAGTGCTTCTGAGATGGAACGAGCGCCAGCGTCTTTGATCTGATTAAGCCACAGACTAACGATTGCGCAGTGAGTTGCGCAGTTGGTGGGCATTCAACATTGAAGCACGTACTTGAGATTTTGCAAGGTCGTATTCTTTAGGAGTGCTTCTGAGACGGAACGAGCGCCAGCGTCACCAACCCGATTCGAGTCCACAGACTAACGATTGCACAGTGAGTTGCGTTGATGGGCATTCAACGTTGAAACGGCTTACTTGAGGTTTTGCAAGGTCGTATTCTTCTGAAGTGCTTCTGAGAGGGAACGAGCGCCAGCGTCACCAACACTGTTCCTGCTCAAACTGTAGAGACATTAAGTGAAAAAAAAAACCAGTCGTTGAATCTGGCTGATCAATCGACTTACACGAGCTGGATGAGCGCCGTGTTCCCCTTGAGTGCGTCAGCAATTGCCTGTGCTCCAGCATCGCCAACTTTGTTCCAGCCCAAACTGTCGAAACATTGAGTGAAAGAACCAGTCGCTGAATATGGATGATCAATCGACTTACTCGAGCTGGATGAGCGCCGTGTTCACCTTGAGTGCTTCAGCGATTGCTTGCGCTCCAACATCACCAACTTGATTGCCGCGCAAGCTGTCACGCTCCTGTCAGTGCCACGATTCGGCAACCCGAATCCGTCACTCGATCTCATTCATCACTGCCAGTCAACTTACTCAAGCTGGGTGAGCGTCGTGTTCACTTTGAGTACTTCAGCAATTGCTTGCGCTCCAACATCACCAACTTGATTAATTTGATTGTTGAACAGTCTGCCTGTTGAAAGGCTGTCACACTACCGTCAGCGACACGGTTCGGCCGCTCAGATCAGTCACTCGATCTCATTCATCACTGGCAGCAACTTACTCGAGCTGAGTGAGCGTCGTGTTAATCTTTAGTGCTTCAGCGATTGCTTGCGCTCCAACATCACCAATTTGATTGCGCTGCAGGCTGTCAACCGACGTGAGCATCACGATTCGGCAGCCCGAATCGGTCACGATCTCATTCATCACTGGCAGTCAACTTACTAGAGCTGGGTGAGCGTTGTGTTCGCCTTGAGTGCTTCAGCAATTGCCTGTGCTCCAACTCTGTCAATCTTGTTCGAACTTAAACTGTCGACCCGTTGTGAGTCCCACGATTCGGTAACCTGATCTGGTACTCGATCTCGTTCATCACAGGCAGCCAACTTACTCGAGCTGGGTGAGCGTTGTGTTCCCCTTGACTGCGTCAGCGATTGCCTGCGCTCCAGCATCACCAATCTCGTTTGAGAACAAGCTGTCAACCGACGTGAGCACCACGATTCGGCCGCTCAAATCGGTCACTCGATCTCGTTCATCACAGGCAGCCAACTTACTCGAGCTGGGTGAGCGTTGTGTTCACCTTGAGTGCTTCAGCAATTGCCTGTGCTCCAGCATCACCAACCCGATTGCTGTGCAGGCTGTCGCGCTCCTGTCAGTGCCACGGTTCGGCAAGACGAATCCGTCACTCGATCTCTTTCATCACTGTCAGCCAACTTACTTGACCTGGGTGAGCGTCGGGTTCACCTTGAGTGCTTCAGCGATTGCTTGCGCTCCAACATGACCAATTTGATTGCGCTGCAGGCTGTCAAGCTACTGTTAGTGCCATAGTTCGGCAACCCGAATCCGTCACTCGATCTCATTCATCGCTGCCAGTCAACTTACTGAAGCTGGATGAGCGCCGTGTTCACCTTGAGTGCTTCAGCGATTGCTTGCGCTCCAACATGACCAATTTGATTGCGCTGCAGGCTGTCAAGCTACTGTTAGTGCCATGGTTCGGCAACCCGAATCCGTCACTCGATCTCATTCATCGCTGCCAGTCAACTTACTGAAGCTGGGTGAGCGTCGTGTTCACCTTGAGTGCTTCAGCGAGTGCTTGCGTTCCGGCATCGCCAATCTGATTGCCGTGCAGACTGACAAGCGTTCGTCAGTGCCACAGTTCGGCAGCCCTGATCTGTCCCTCGATCTCATTCATCGCTGCCAGTCAGCTTACTGAAGCTGGATGAGCGTTGTGTTCACCTTGAGTGCTTCAGCGATTGCTTGCGCTCCAACATCACCAATCTTATCGTCACTCAGACTGCCAAGGCATTGTCAGCTTCGGCTACCCTAATCTGTCACACGATCTCATTCATCACTGGCAGTCAACTTACTCGAGCTGGGTGAGCGTTGTGTTCACCTTGAGTGCTTCAGCAATTGCTTGCGCTTCATCATCACCAATCTTTTGAAATTCAAACTGTCGCCACATGTCAGTGTCATCATTCAGCACTTTCGTCGTTTTGTCTTTGCTTTCTTACTAGAGCTCGCCATTCGCATTCTTGACTTTCTCATACCACCTGCGCTGTTCTGGCGTCATCGCCTCGTAAGACAGCGACATGGCAAACCTGAACGCAACAATCACAGCAAATGAGTAGATTCTCTGAGTGTTTTCGACCCTGCTCACCAGTCTCTGAATTGCTGCTGCACTGAGCAACTTTGCAGACGATTCTATTTGTCACTCCACCATCCGCAGCAGCAGCAGCCATGCCCTCACCATGCCCCACGCTACAAGCTGGCTGTTGATGCTGTTGGGAAGTCACAAGCTTCACGCATTACAATCGGACAGTCCTCTCTCCCTCCCTTCCTCTCCCCACCTCAGCTTCGCGTTTGGTGAACCGACAGTCCACCAGCTTCCCTCCAAAGTTGTTGGGACGGCAGCCCAACAGCAGCCCTCAGAAACAAGCAACGGCTGATCTTGAACGAGATTGAACAAGATTGTTGTTTTGTTGGTTTTGAGATGTTGTGAACAAGCCAAACCTACGTCACAGCAATGCAGAAAGAGTGAGCTGTGATGTTGCACATCTTCATTTGTACTGTACTGAGTTTGTTCTGGGATTCGTAGGTGCACTCATGAGCTTCGAAGTGGGAGGATTGAAATGTAACAAAACGAACCAAAAGCGAGCTTTTGTATTGGCAAACTGAGACGGAAGAGCGTTTCTTTTGTAGCAGGGCAGTTACTACACTATCACGATTATCTGTGACCTTGCAGCCCGCTTTGGAGAAGAGGGAAGGAGGGAAGAGACTTGGCTCATTGCAACGTCCGCTGATCTCAAAGTTTGAGACTGAATCCATTGGTTTTTGCACCAACCTCACGTTCTGTGGCCAAGCACCCATTCCGTCAGAAGCATGATAGAGCATCTCTGAGAATACATCTGAGCTGCTCAGTCCTTTTCACAATAGTTTCGTACTGGAGCCTTCGACACAAAAGCAAACGGACGTGTTTCAGACACTCCGCCGAAGCATTCGAGGTCAGCACACTCCTGCTTGCGTTGTTGATCAAAATTCAAAAGCAAATGGTTCTAATCTGAAAATCCAATTGTAGCATCGATGTGAAACCCAAACATGATCGACAAGCGATCCACTAGTTTCGACAACACGAATTTATGAGGGAATTCGACAAAGAGAGAAAAACGACAAATAACGAGAATCAACAAAAAACAGAAACGGAAATCAAGAAGGACAAAAAGAAATTACCGAGGAGACATGAATGATCTGTGCGATGCTACATGTCACAGTAGTCCCCGATAAAATCACGTTGGGACTGGGTGTTCAGAGCGCTGTCGCGTTGAGAATCTGGCACCTCGGCGTGTTGTTTGCGTTGAAGTGACGACGGTAGGATCATGTTGTCATTCCTCGACGCTCGCGTTGGCGAGACTGTGCGGGCAACGTCAAGATCTGGCTCTGGAAGCACCTCGATTTCAGTTGCAAGGAGAAACGCGGCATCCTCCATGGCTGGGTCATCCAACATCATGTCCAAAACGTTGGACGTGGCGTCGTCGTAGCTCAGCATCACTCCGTGCATTGGAACGTGGCGCGGCTGCTCTGGCCTTTTCGGAGGTTCGCTCCCGCGGCTCCTGGCACCACTGGTTGCTCCTCGGCGATGAGCAAAGTGGCGCAAAGTGTTGCGCAAACGGGGGGAGTACCGCTCAAAGTGCTCATCCACAGACTTGGTGACCAGTTCGACCACCCATCGATGCAGCGACGTGCCAGTCGCCGCCCGGGCGATTTCAAAGGACGGGACGCGGTGTGACAGCGGTGGCTGCGAGGCTTCCTCTATGAGCTGCTTGATCGATGGCGGTGATGTACGCGCTCGGATGAGGGGTCTTTTGGGTGTGGAATGGGCAAACCGACGGATGGCGCGATGATTGCCACCAGTGCTGCAGCCAGGTTTGTGGCAAGGCTGCTCGACGGCGGGTGATGTCAGAGTCGTACGCGTGGTGCTTGGCCTCGGCAGCTGCTGCGTGGTCGTTGCATCATTTGCGTGGACGGCCTCTGGATCCGTCGTCGCCTCAGCCGGAACTGTCAAGGGCTCCGACTCGGATGGGCAATGCGTCGCGGTGGTCGACCACTGAGACTCGCTGTTTTGAGGCAAGATGCTCTTGGGCTCTTCTGCGTGCACTTGGTGGCCTCCAGCAGTGCCAATCAGGAGCGCGAGGGCGAGCGGACGAGTCTTGGTCGATTGCACAGCGCTCGGCGGCGGTGCAGGCTGGGTCGGACGATCAAACACGAACGGATGAGCCCGCGTCAAATCATACCTGGTTGCTGCACCCACTTTACGAGTCGACTCATTTGCAATGCTTTTTGCAATCGAGACCCGAATGGCTGGATTGGCTGCTGAAACAGGCGGAGGCTGACCAAAGCTGAAGCGCTTGGTCTCTGGCAATCCGCCCTCGGGTGTGTCGTCCTCAGAGAAGCTCAATTTGCGCTTCGAAGACCGGAAGGCTCTCGTGTCTGACCGTCCTTCTGGACCACGCGCAGTTGAGGATACACGTTCTTTCACAGGAGTGTCCGACAGAGCTTCAATTCCACGAGCTGCACCTGCCGGTAAAGTCTGGCCACCCGAAACCGCCGAGGCTGACGGCGAGGTCGGATTGGCATCACCGGGTGCAGCGAGGCTGTCCGCGCCATGCATGCTGCAGTGGCCTGTCGCAACGCAGCAGCTCGACAAAAGCTGTTCTATTTCCCGACGCTTGCCATTCTTGCCCGGATTGCGAGCCAGTGCTCGCAGCTTGCTCACCTCAGCTTGGCGGCGGTCGGCGACCACGGGACCAGTCTCCGCGGCAATCCGAGCTGCCGAGATGCAAGCCGCGTCAACGCCCACCCGCGCACCCATGGCGACAAGATGTGCGCGCGTGCAGTGCAGCAGGAACGTGGGCAGCACTCCAACAATCTCGTGAAAGTAGTGGCAGCTCTTTTTCCGTCGGCAGTCGGTGCACCAGAGCAGCTTTGAGTTCTCGAGGCCAAACTCGCCGCGGCACAGCTTGAACCGACCCGAGACGGTCGTGAACAGCGGCACGCCGGCAACCGAATCCATCTTCGTCGCGCCGCCCTCGTGCGAACCACTGCGGAAAACGCTTGGCTTGGTGCGGCACGCTGTCTCGCGCGTGGTGGTTGTGGTGGTAGTTGTGGCTGGACGCTCGCTTGGCTCTTGCATCAATGATCTGTTTCAGTTGCGTTGTTGTTTTGCATACAAAAGTGAATCATCGGCGTCGTCGACTGATTTGTCGCGGCTGAGGCAAGCACGTCCACTCTTCAATGAGCACTCGTATGGGATGATCCACGCGACACACACGAAAAAAAAAAAAGAAGAAAAAAATCAAACAATACACCAAAAATACACTACAAGGCGGCGTCGACCCTTTTAAGGCAATGACACGCCAAAATACCCATCAAAGGACTTAAAGAACGTGCGTGATTCAAATTAAGCATTAAAAATGAGAGCAGGAATCAGAAAAGAAAAACCGGATGTGCATTGATCCGAGGACGATCATTGGGTGTGATGCGGGGAATTAAAAAAAAAAGAAAAAAAAGCGGGGGTGCTTTAGTGATCGGCTCCTGCCGTTCACCAGCACGCACAAAGCCTCCCCCACCCTCTCCACCCCCACCTCTGTCGTCGAGTATCTGGCAGTGGCAGAAGACCATGCGATCGTCTGGGGAATCGAGACAGTGGAGTGCGAGGAAGCGTCGATCGGACCACAAACAACAGCAATCTGTCAAATCCATTCACTCACACAGTTGAGGAGATCCCGTTTGCGTTTCAGCTTGAGGCAAGTTGTGCTCTCGTTCGCCGTCAATCAAAGTGGAGGAAGAGAGGTGTAGGAGGGCACTTGATGCGGGAGGTTGCAGAAAATCAAACAACCAACACGACAACGGCCCGAAACAAGATTGAAAGAAGAAAAATAAAAAGCGAGAAGAAAAGAAAAAAAGGAAGGCGAGAAGAAAGAAATAATGCCCACAGCAAAATCTGTCAGAAGAAAGGAGTGGCCAAAAGACATGCTTGAGTGGGAAAATACGTATCCGAGATTTCATAAAAACGGAATCCGAGCGAGGTTCAGACACAAGAATCAGCATCGGCACGGGTTTTAAGGCTCGGCGGAAGACAGCTGGAGCAGCAGACCGCGCGCGAGACGTAGCAACTCGGACGCATAAAGAAGGGGGGGGGGGCTTGGAGCCGCGTCGCCGAAACGGCAGAGACTTGCTTTTGACAGTTGACAGTTGACAGGATCAACAATGGCAACTTGCGTGGATTCCGTCACGCCTTTGGCGACTGAGCAAGTTGGATTCAGCGTGCGTCCTTCTTCTTGTCCAGCGGGCTGATAAAAAATTACATGCGATCTTGCTCTGCCGTCGACCAATAGGTGGCTCATCCTCTGCTCTTTCACAAAGCAAAAAAAAACTGGTGAGTTTGGTGTTGGAAAAAACGTCAAAAAAACGTCAAACGAAAAAAGAAAGCGTCAAAACAAGAAAATGAAAAAGTCGTGCGACGTAAACGAAAGCCTCGCGTGTGGCCGGGAATAGCCCAGAGTGCGCTCCAGACAGCATGCAGCAGCAGGGTGTGACCGGACACGGCGGCTCGTGGTCGAGGCAAGGAGAGGACTGCTGTGCAGCGTCACACAACACCACCAGCGAGCCCACACAGTCCTCCGTCCACGAGCTGGCATTCTGAGTCAGTGTGAGGACCTCGCACCTGGCTCATACTTGCACCCTTCGCAGGCATAGGCTGGGGCTTCTGAACTTGTGCCCCTCTCTGCGCTGACGAAGGGAGAATCGCGACATTCAGTCGACGACGTCTCGATTTCTGTCTCTGTTGATGGTGGAGTCGCTTGGTGCAGCATGAACACGACACCACAGCAGCGCTCCCAGCTCATCTCGAGCGATGATTGTCATGGGCTGCGAGTGTGTGACAGACATCATGAGGAGGCGCAGGAGAGAGCGAGCCCACCAAGTTCACGCGCGACACCGAAACCATCCCAACCATTTTCCACGCTCCAGGGTGTCGTGAATCACCCCGCTCGATGCGAGCAGCAGCTGTTCATGAACACGCCTCTGAGCGACGTTGTCACTCGGCTGAGATGCACGCTGAGATGCAAAATTGTGCGGGGGTTGAGGACCCCCAAAACACAAAAAGGACAAATCGCTCACCTCACCAAATGTGCTGCCGCTCGAGACTGGAACGGTGCTGAGGCCACTGTCCGTATCGGTGATGGGACTTTGTCCACACACGGCACGAAGGATTGAACGACCTTGGTTTTTTTGAGGCATGGCGAACATGCATGGAGACAACAGGACTGCTTGACGAACCGTGTTTACGTTGCATCTTTTTGGGGGCCGAACCGCGCTCGTCAGCATCCGCGCCATCCTGAGTGCCCAAGCCAATTCAAGTCAGCGCCATCCTAGTTCCAAGTCGGCGTCATCCTGTTGTGTTCGAGTCGCGCACAAAATCCTCAATGAGCAACCGCGCAACATTTCGCGCCTTCCTCGACCGGCAGCGTCCATCTGCCTCTGCTGCCACCGCTCGCCTCAATTGGTTTTGATTGAGCGCGCTTCTCGGCGTCTCCAATCCAATGCGACGACCATGAATTGCCGCACGCAGCCATGGCCACGGAGTCGTCGTGCCACAGCAGACCGCGTCAACGACAAGGAGCGATGGCGACATCTCAACTTTGGCGACGGACGCTTGGCACACCCACAAGGCGTGCCCCATCCTCAATATCCGGCTCGCCCGCATGGTGTGAGATTTTGAAAAGCGGCTGCTTCATCGGGAGCCTGTCATCGTAGTGCGAGGCAGCCTTTCGCTGGCAAAGCAGCGAGACACGAGAAAATGCCAGTTTTGAACCCAGCGCTCAACGAAACAAACTGTCGTTCGCCACGACATACAGTACAGCCCCAAGTACCGTGCATGAAGCTCATGCCGAGTTGCTGTGGGAAAATGATATGAGCATGCTTGGATCATGAAACAAGAAAGGCCAAGCTCTTGCGGGACCAAAGATGCAGTGAATGAAGCAAGACGCAATGGAAACAACGACTGCGTCGTTGCGTTTTACACTCACTGTTGTTGGCTCATTAACGAGATGCCATTGCAAGCATGCTTGTGTTTGATGCTCATGTTGAGAATATGAGCGAGGTTGAAGTCCTAACTGCTGTTCAGGCAATCCCGCCCTTCTTTTTTTTTTTTTTTTTTTTTTTGGCTTTTTTTGTTTTTGTTTTTCCTCGAAATGTCCGTCTGTAGTCTGTCGATTGAAATCAACAAGAAACAAAGAGATGCACATTTATTTGACAAAAGATTGCAAAAAGCCAGCCCATTCTATCCAAGTCCTACTGGACGAAAACGGCGTGCAGGCGCTCAAACTCGCGGCTATCCAACTTGACAGTTTGTGGAGCCTCCGGTCGTCCAGCGCTGGGGATGGTGAGCTTGCCAATCTTGACCACATTGAGCTGTGTTTGGGTGGGAAGAGATTCACGAACGGATGAGCAACCAACTCGGAAAAGAGCAACACAAAACAAAAAAAAAAAAAAAAAAAAAAAATTCGCTCCTTTTACCGAGTGGGAAAGATCTGGCCGCGCAAACGAACCAAACGAAGAAGGTGCAGCCGCTCCGGCAACTTCCGTCAGAATCGCGTCTGCAGCTCGGGCAGAAAGCTCAGACGTGAGACGCTGAAGCGATGCCAGTTGAACCAGCGGGTCTGCGACGGCAGGTTTGCCAGCACGCTCGGCCACGCGAACAACTCGCACCGAGGTGGACACATTTTGAATACTCTGCAAGCACAGGTGCAGACAAACAGCATGAGCAATCATTCCTACACTGCCACCCCTCCCCTATGTGTGTCGTTTCTACCTTAACAAGCTCGGACGCCTCTCGGGCAACGCTCGTAATCGTAGAAGGCGTCGGGGTGACGGACGACACGGAGACGGCGGCGGGAGAGACAGCGGCGTAGGTGCGCGGGACGGCGAGTGGCGGCAGTTCGGCCAGACTGAGCTTGGACGATTGGCCTTTGAGCGACGCGTTCTCCAGTCTGAGATGACGCACGGCCGCCTCGAGAGCCTCGACCTGCGACTCGTACTTGCCAATGACAGACGCAGGAGCCATGGCCGCGGAGGCACCGGAGCCGCCATCGTGGGGCGCGCGACGAGGCGAGCCAAGCGGGCTGGCACCAAGACTGGGCAGACCAAGATCGAGACCGGTGGCAGGAGTATGGGCACCCGTCTGGCCGCCGGTTCCGGCGCTCGTCTTGCGGAGCGTTTTCAGCTGCCTCTGCAAGTCCGAAATGTCCTTCTCGTACACTTCAATGTCGGTGTGCAGTGCTTTGACGGTGTCGTCCAGGCGCTTGACCTGCTTGTTTGCAGCGTCCAGTTGCGCCTTGGCATCCTCCAAACGATCACATTCCGATTTAAGGGACAGGACACGCTTTTCGAGCGTCTCGGCCCGCACATGCGAGTCGCCGAGCTCCTTCTCCTTGACCTTGAGCGCCGTCAGAGTAGCGTGCAGCTCTTCAGACTTGGCGGCCAGTTTCTCGCGGAGTTGGGACGCCTCGGCAGCCTCGTCCTTGAGAATCTGTGCGCGGTACAGCCATGGTGCAACAGTGTTGGTGCCTGTTGGGGATGCAGTGATGGCAGATGTGTCGTCGAGGTCACCGCGCTGGAGCGCGGCGAAGAGCTCACCGAGAGCGGCAGCAACGGCACCAGCTTCGGCAGCCAAGTGAGCAACCGCGGCTGAGCCGTCGCTTGTTGCCTCGCCCATGTAGCGCTGCACAACATCGCGGATGCGATCTCCCCAGTTGTCGAATGCCAGTGGCAACTGATCGGCAACCGGCGCCGAGGCATCCACGCCGACGGCGAGGGCTTGGGCCAGTTCGTCGAAAAGAGCGGCCAGCAGGCCGGAACGCTGACCGAGCAAGGCAATCTTCTCGCGTTGCCCGTGAGGGAGTGCAATGCGCGCCTCGGTGCCCGTACTTGAGGCGGACGCACTAGCAGCAGCGGTGGCAGGCGTCGAAGCGGCCGCCGAGGGCATTTTGCGGACAATTCGGCGAGCAGCGTCGCGCGCCTGCGTGAGCTGGTCGACAGCCTGGACCAAAATGCTCGAGATGCCCTGTGCAATGGCGTCCGAGCCACCGTTGGGTGCAATGTGAATCAAGGACAGGATGGCAGACGCGCCATGCAGCGCGCGGTTGCAGCAAATGTCGATCGTCTCGCAACGCCACTCGAGCACATCACCATCGCTCAGATTGGTCAACAAGGACGATGCAGGGGACGAGTAGAGGACACCAGAGCTGCCTTGTGGTTGTTGTGGTTGTTGGTGTTGTTGCTGCTGCTGCTGCGGCATGCTGGACAGCTGCAGACTCGAAGGCGAAGGGGTCAGACCAGAGGCCGTGCTTGAGCTCGGAAGGTACGACACGCCAAGATATGAGAGCTGGGCAATGGACTTGTCAATGCCATCCAGCGGAACCACATCCGTCAGCTGCTCTCGCTTGAGGAGCTCGAGAATGGAGTCCAGCTTGCGCTCGTGCACAACCAGCTCAGAGTGCATAAAGCCAAGCTTGAGATACAGCTCAACCTCGCAGGAGCGAAGCATTTGCGAGAAGCGCGCAAAAATGTGCTGCAGATCGACCAGACGAGCAAAGAGTCGGTGGGCGAAGGAGGTGGACTCGCGACGCACCAGCGTTTGCACGGACTGAGCATGGTTTGAGCCGGAAGCCTGCTGTTGCTCCAGTCCGTCGCGATCGAGATGGAATTGCTGGCGCACCTGTGACATGGCCATCTGGGTTTTGAAATGCAGACGGTGGAACAACAGGACGGTGCACACGCCGTCAAACTCGGATTTGAAGAAGGACTCGGGCAGGAAGGAACGCAGCATGGTGGCCATTTCGGTTGCTTGCATGGCATCGAGACGCCGCAGCTCCAGATCCACGGCGCGGGCGTGCGCTTTGGAGGCGCTCGACTGCAGTTGCATGTTCAGGCTCAGCAATGACTGAGACTGCGTCGCAAGCTCGCGCGACTCCTCCTGCTGAGATACCTCGCGACGACGGAGCTCAGACATGTCTGCCTGCAAGTCACGCAGCAAGTCGCGGTACTTGCCAATCGAGGCCTCCTGATCGGCAATCGTCTCGTTGGCCGACTCGAGCGCGCGGGACAGCTCGTGCACGCGGACGCTGAGGCTGTCAATCTCGCCCTGCAGCTGGCGTTCCGATGCAACGTGGTTTTCCTCCAGCTCATCGGCAAGATCGCGAAGGGCCTCCAGATCGTACAGTTGCTCGTTCAAAATGTGGACGCGCTCTTCGAGATCGAGATTGGCGTTCGTCAGCTTCTCCACCATGTCGGAGACCCCCATGGCGTCATCGACGGCCTGCTTGAGCTCGACCACTTGAGATTCCAGATCGGCGACCTCTGCGGAAAGCTTCGTGTTGCGCTCGCGCAAATCAGGCACGGATGCAGCCTCCTTTTCCAGCACTGTCACCTTGGCGGTGAGCTCGTGCTTTTCCGCCGCCGCCATGTCCCTCAATTTGACGAGGGCCTCTTTGAGACGCTCGTTGTGAGCCTCCAGCTGCTTGGTCTCTGCAGACGTGGGCCGGCGTGCGGCTCCGTCACCAGCAGCCGCCTGCTCCTCCTGCTCGCCGCGCAGAATAGCCAGATCGAGATTGAGCTCTTCGATGCGCTCCTTCAGCCCCTCCACCTCGGCCTGCATGGAGTCGCACTTTTCCTCGGCCATCTCCTTGTCGAGCGTGGCGAGCTCGGTTGCATCGGAAAGCTCGGCCACCTCGCTCGTCAGCTTGTCGCGCGCCTCGGTGGCTTCCTTGGCCTCGCGTCGGGCCTCCTTGAGCTGCTGCTGCAGCTCGTGCTGTGCGTGCGCCCACTTTGTCTTGTACTCTGTCATCTGGTCGTGCAACGCGCGGTACTTTTCCAGCTCTTTCATGCGCTCGCGGTCTTCTGCGCGCTTGGCCTCCAGAGATGTGACCTTTTCGCGCAACAAGAAGACTTCGCGGTCTGTGCCAGGGTGAGTAGGTGCAGTGGAGGCAGACGCGGCGGAGGTGTCTGAGGCGGTGGCGGGGGCGGTGGCTGCTGCCGGAGTTGGCGCAGCTGGTGTACGCAAAGTCGATGTAGCGGCAGCTGCGGCAGGGGTAGGCGCAGGAGCAGCAGCTGCAGGAGTAGGTGCAGCAGCAGAAGCAGCAGCTGGCGCGGGAGTCGCTGCAGCAGCAGCAGCAGCAGCAGTCGGTGCTGACTTTTCCTGAATGCACGAATCCAAAGTCATGACAAGTGTGGCATCGTCAGCGCTCTGCAGCCATCCATCATTGATGCTTGGGAAGCTCATCATACTCTCTTACCGGAGTCGGCACAATGGTCACTTGAGTATGACGGACAAACACGCCGTGCAGCTCCTTGCACTTAAAGTACACCTTGCCTGTTCATTGTTTTTGGTTTTTGACATAGATGAACAAACAAAAAGATGCATCTGTGAGTGACGGGTCGCGCGGTTCATTGGGCTTGATGCCTGGAATTGCACTGCATTGAGATTTGAGTGATTCAGATTGGGAGATTGGTAGATTGGAGCGGCGATTCGCTCGCCTCGTCACAACCCCTCAACCCCACATTCAGATCCTCAACAAACGCAAGCACACGGTGGAACGCAGCGCTTGACTCGAGTTCCGCGCAGGTCAGCGGCTCAAACGCTCACCTTGCACAGATCCGTCATTTTTGCCGTCGCCGTCGTCCAACTCGACTCCGACCCACCAGCCGGCAGCGAAGGCCGTGGTGCCCCAGAAGCGAACCCAGCCGAGCTTGCCACGGAGCTCGACGCGCTGGCCGACCTCGAGCGCGGCGGCGTCAGGCGGAGGAGCTTCAGTTGCCATTCAATGCAAAAGCAGCAAAAAGGCCCAAAAAAAAAAAAAAAAAAAAAAAAAAAAACAAGAATGAATGAATTGAACTGGAATTGAAATCGAAAGTAAAGCATCGTCAACAAAATCGCAAAGTGGAGCATGCTCGAAATGTGCGGATGAGGACTTGTACTGAAGAGGGAGTCAATGAATGAAAAGGGGTGGGGGAAGTGATTGATTGGAACAAAATTGCAGCTGGACGATTCTGAGTTTTTGGAAGCGACGTTCTCAACGGTCATGCCGCACTGTGATGAGACAAACATGGTGCAAAGAGTCTGAAGAAGAAGAAGAGGAGGAAGAAGAAGAAGAGACTGAATTACTGAATGTGACACTGAAAACTACACAAAAAAACACACACAAAAAAAAAACACAACACACACACAAACAAACAACCAAAGCTGCTTGCTTAGCGCTTCAACGCAGAGTAGAAGCGCATGCCAAGGATGACAAGGAGGGAAAGACCAGCATAGTAGCCAAGCAGGATGCCAAAGTCGCCCCATTCTGTCAATCCGAACAAAAACACAAGGTGAGCAACAACCGTTGCGACAAAACCAAACCCTGGCAGAAACTGTTCACGCCACTTCTCGCATCAGCCACTTACTGCGATCCTTCAAATCGAACGCATTCAAGATATCTTGACCATCGTTCATTCTGCAAAAGTAGTTCACTTCGGTGTAGTTGTACGGATTGTAGATCGGAATGGCATCCGAGCGGTCGCAGACGAACGCCTTGCCCTGGAACTCGTTCAAGGCCAGGGATTCGACAGCGTACACCATGTAGTTGCAGTAGGCAAACCAGCGCCAAATCCAAGACATGGACTCGATGGGAATCAAAAAGCCAGCCAGCAGGAACTGCCAAACAAGAACGAGTGCGAAACAGCAAAAGTCAATCGGACGAAAAAAACGAAAGTGCCGGCGGAGATTGAAGCAAAATACACTTACAAAGAACGTCGAGAAGGTCGGGGCAATAACGTTGGCCACTGCCTGGTTGGCAGAGTACACGGCAACCGTTTGGGCAAAGGTATTGGCGCACAGATACGTGACAAAGAAGATCAGGAGGAAGAAGAAGAAGCTGCCCGCCTCCGTGCTCAAATTAGTCATCCAGTAGAACGGAACGACAAAGCAAACCAGGTAGACGACATGGAACGGGTACTCGCAAAGCAGCAAGCTAATCGACATGGCTGACGCACGGTACGTGCCACTCGCTTTCTCGCGATAAAACACTGCATGACGGGGGCAAAAAAAAGAAAGAGAGCGGCCCATCAATACTCATCGACAATGCGAACACCCGAATTGATCTGCAAAAGCCAACCACTCACCAGCTCGCAGCTCCAAAATGTCACCCATGGAGGACTGAGAAATGAAAGCCATGAAGACCAAACCAAAGAAGATCATACCAATGCGACCCGTGGCACCAACTACGGACAAGAATGGTCAGACACAAGTGAGGCGACCGGGATTCATCACAAACCACAAAAACCCAAACCAAAAAGAAAAAGAAAAACACAGCAGTGCCCAACCCTCTCACCTTCATTGTACTCGAGCTGCCAGAACAACGAACCAAGCACAAGCGACATGAAAAGGTAGGTCACGAGTCGGGTCTTGAAAAGCGTGGGATTGCGCCACGACATGAGCCACGTGCGAGTCATCACTTGGGCCAGCTGCGTGCGGAAACCGGTCGCAAACATGGCGTCCTCAAAGTGCGGTGGCTTGACGTCCGGGGTGCAGACACCACTGGCGAGGGCGTCTTTGACCTTGCGGCATTCGCTCGACTCGCGCCACTGCGCAGCACAGTCCACCTCTTTGGTCTCGCAGACAGTGTCCAGCACCCAGTCGGCCACGTTGCGGTCGTGCTGGAACTCGATTCCGAACTTGGCCTTGACGTACGCGAGCAAGAGCGCCGAGCGTTCGCCGACGGGGCCGAAAAACACTTGATGACCGCCCTTTTTGAGCAAAAGCAGGTGGTCAAACATGCCAAAGATTTCCGCCGAAGGCTGGTGGATGGTGCAGATGACGGCACGGCCGGTTTGGGCAATCTGCCGGATTTTCGACATGACCAGGGCAGCACCGAACGCGTCCAAGCCGGATGTCGGCTCGTCCAAGAAGAGCAGTGGCGGATCGGCAATCAGCTCGACGGCGATGGTCAGCCGCTTGCGCTGCTCGGGTGAAAGGCCGCCCGAGCTGATGGTACCAATCAGATCGTTGGCAATGTCCTCCATGTCCAGCTCGTACATGACCTTTTCCACGCGGGCTTGCTTTTCTTCGATGGAAATGGACTCGGGCAGGCGGCACATGGCGGCAAACGTGATGGCCTCCTTCACCGTGTGAAGCGCAAAGTGAATATCCTGCTGCTCGCAGTAGCCAGAGATGCGCTTGAAGAACACGTTGCGCGGACCGCCGTTGATCTTGATCGAGCCGGTGGTTTGACCGCTAGTCTTGCGATCGGCCAAGACGTCCAAAAGCGTCGTCTTACCAGCGCCAGAAGGACCCATCAGAGCCACCAAGGTACCGGGCTTGACATAGCCGTTAATGTCCTGCAGCAGGGTCTTGGTGAAGACCTTGTTGTTCTCATCCTTGGCCTGGACGTCGTACTTGAGGTCGCTAAACTCCATAAACGCCTTTTGGTTGGGCTGCAGGCGAGCGACGACGGCAGAGTTCGCGGTGGCCGCAGCGGTGGAGGCGGTGCGGCCCTCGTCCATCAGTTGTTGCGTTTGATCGAGGAGGTTTTGCGCAAAGACGGCGTCTGTCTCGCGACGCTCGAGCATCTTGCGGGCAAGCAGCGCGCGGCGCCGAGTGAGAGACTCGGCATCCTCAAAGTGCGGGTTGTGTGTGCTGAACTCGCGCGAGTACTTGATGCAAAAGAAGGAAATGAAGAGCCAAACAAGCCAGTAGACATAAATGATGATAATGTCCCAATGGTACCACGTGTCACCGAGTTGCGCACCGAGGGTGCCCAGGTAAGCGTCGCCTGTCGGAAGCGGGCAGACCTGGGTGCCGTTAAACCCACCAGCCGAGAATGGCAGGTTGAACAGGGGATTGTTCGCCGGCGGAATCAGCTCGTCCGCGTCGCACTCCAGGGTGCGTCCCATAAATTCATTCATCGCAAGGCCTTCGTACGAGTAGTGCATGGGAGAAATCCAGTACATCCAAATCCAAAAGTTCCGAATCGCCGATGGCGGGAGCAAGAAACCGTTAAAGATAAAGTACAAGACGACTGACGACGGGATGATGGCGTTGGCGAGGTTGATCGAGCTGTGTCATCCCAAAAGAGCAGCGAGGGAGCAAAAAAAAATGAGAAATCGGCGGGGAGCAAAAAATGAGAAAGGACGAAAACGCAATGGCGTCGTGCTCACGCAAGCTTCAAAAAGAAGACAACAAAAACAAGCCAAAACATACGGAATCAAGGCGGAGAGGGCACGGGCATAGGTGGTCGACCACAACGCGCTGCCGGTACACATAAAGAAAAAGTAGAAGAAAGCCGCGGCGGTCGCATTCAGGCCAACAAGGAAATAAATCAACACGACGAACAGGGTCACTTCCGCAAACAAGAGCGGAAGATCGGCCAGATTCACAGCCAGGAAATAGGCAAAAGGTTGAAAGTACTTTGACTTTCGCTGACTCAGGTAGACGTCACGCTCAGCCAACAACTGGGGAATTGCCGTGCCACCTGTTTGTCAAGAGCAGAGGTGTAAAAATAATCATCTAAGAACCACACACAAACAAAGGACCACCAAGAAAGAACAAAACATACCAAGGAAACCCATGTGACCAACAACGGTCGTAATGACACCAAGCTTGTTGCGCGAGTCACGCTGGTTGTCGCTCAGCTGCAAGAAGACGGTGGCAAACAGGACGGCCGTGATGATACCACGGCCCAAACGAGCTTGGAAGGAGGTGGGGTCGCGGAATTGCATCTTCAGGGCACGGCTCAAGGTCAGCTTGAACTGGCTCCACAGCTGCAGCGGATACTTGCCGAACGTGTCAATGCTGGCAGCGGGCGGGCAGTCGCGTGGGGCAACACCCTTCCACAGACGACGACCGAGCGAGGCGTAAATGTCGCTCTCCCTGAACTTGGTGACGAAAAAGTCCACGGAAAGGTTGATGCTCACCTCTGGAGGCACAAACTTTTCCGGGTGGTCGCAGCACTGGGCGAGGAACTCTGCCGGATTCATGTCCTCGGGGCACTCGAGGCCCAGCCCAGCAAAGTAGTCGAGCACACGGCCGCGAGGGCCAAAGTACGTAATCTGGCCTTGGGACAGGATGCACACCTGGTTGAAGAGCTCGTACAGCTCCTTGGACGGCTGCAGAAGCGCAGCCATGCAAGGGAAGCCAACATCAGCAATGGAGCGGACGTGGGAGAGCACATTGAAGGCGGCGGCGGAATCGAGACCCGTGGTCGGTTCATCGAGCAGAAGCATGTTGGGCGTCTTGAGCATTTCAACGCCAATGGTGACGCGCTTCTTTTCACCGCCAGAGATGCCGCGGATGAGCGCGTTGCCGACGAGCGTGTTGGCAGCATGCTCGAGGCCGAGCAGCTTGAGGATGACATCAATGTGCGAGTTTCGCTGCTCCATCGTCATCTCGCGAGGCAACTGCAGCTCGGCGGCAAACTCAAAGGTTTCGCGGACGGTCAGCGTCGGGGTGTGGATGTCGCTCTGCGCAACGTAGCCACAAACACGGTTGAAGTTTTCTGGGATTGGTGAGCCGTTGATCAGCAGGGTGCCGTTGCGGTCGGTGGCCAGTCGGTTGGCGATGGCCTTGATGAGGCTCGTCTTGCCACAGGACGGGCCGCCGAGAATCGCCACCATGTCGCCAGGCTCCATGTAGCCGGAAATTCCGTCGAGCACGGTAAATTCGACTTGCGAAGGGCGGTCTCGGATGCGCAGGGTTTGGAGCATGTCCGACCAGACGGTGCTGACTGTTTGCTTGGCGTCAATCATGGTCTTGAAGCTAATGTCGCGAAACTCGACAAAGGCGCCCAGCATGCGGCCTGGGAAGAAGCGCTCGACAAAGTCGACATAGTACGAACACATGTCAAAGTTGGGGTCGTTGAGGTCGACAATCACGCCCGCGCCATTCGCAGACGGAGAGCTGGTGTTGGACAGCAGCGAGTCGTCCGACTGCTCTCTCAGCGGATGGTAGACCTGCTTAAAGTCCTGCGGGAAGAGCGCGCGCTTGGGATCCGTGTGCGAAACGCGTGTCGGGTCGAGTCGCGCCTCGGCAATGGCCAGCAGGGCGCTCGACATTGTGCCGCCAGCAGCAGCAGCAGCAGCAGCGCCATTATTGGAGCCAGCAGCAGCAGCAGTGGTAGATGACGAGGACAGCGCGCTGCCGTCGCTGGCGCGCAGGAGGCTCTTGCGGCCAGTGTCGTCGTGCTCGCTGGGCATCATCGGCAAATCATTCAGCTCAAAGTGCACGCCTGCCTTTGCCGCGCCGCCGCCGCCATGATGGTGCTCGCTGTCCTTGGCCCGCAGCGCATGAGCGTACGATCCGAGGCGCGGGCGGTGTGCGCCGTTGTCGTCGTTGTCCGTCGAGGTCGTCGATGGCGCGGCGAGTGCGGAACCGGAACCGGAACCGGCACCGTGGTGATGATTGTCGGCTGATCGCGCGTGGTCGCTCATCGCAGTCCAATTGGAAAACAAGAAGGGGCTCCTCCTCTGGTCTCAGATCAACACGATACTCTCGTCGTTTCGTCTCGTATCCAGCTCGATCGCTCCTGGATTGTTTTAGTCCTCTCGCTCTTGTCAATCCCGAGCAAAAGAGATTATTAAAAAAAAAAAAGAGGGACTGCCGGGACTTTTTTTTTTTTTTTTTTTTTTTTTGAATTATTTTTTATTTTTACAGTTTGGGACGTATGCGGTTTCATTGGGAACAGTGCGGCGCTGGGGCGGGATTTCGTAGCCATCAGCGCTTTGGATTGGGGGGGGGGGAATCGCACTCACTCACAGAAGCAAAACACGAGCACTCGCAGGCAGAGCGACTCCTCCATCGCCAAGACATTTGAGGGAAGAAGGGGGGAAAACGGGCAGAGGTGCGGAAAATAGCACGAACTTAAAAGCATCACAACATTAAAAATTAACCACCAAAGGCGATTTTGAGGGCTGCAAAGGGGGGGGGGGAAGGGCAACAGGTGGGTTGGGTGCTGCGGAGGATTGCACTGCGCCACGTCAGCAGCAAAAGCGCGGGGGAATGCAAGAGGGACGAGAAACAACAAGTTGGAGAAGAGGGCGAGAAGGTGAGGGTTTGAGCGACTCAGACAAGTTGCTGTTCGCTTTTCACTTGTTTCATTTACCTCGTTGCATTGCAGGGGTGGAATCAAAGAGAGAAGAGCACGTGCATCACGCTGCAATCGGGGGTGGAGGGGAAGAACAGGAATTGGCAAAATGACGAGATTGACTTGTCTGAATCAAAGGAAGCCTCGGATCGACCTGAATGGGACGACAACACACAGCGCTTGTTTCAGATTCGAGCTCGTAACTCCGTGAGCAAAAGTGGTGAGAGAAACGGACGTTAAATACATTGTTTTCTCGAGTCTGGAGTTCTGAGAACGATGCGTTTTTCCTTGTTTGTTTGTTTTGTTCGTTTCTTGCACATCTGTGTTTGCCAGCTGCCTTGTCTGCTGCTTCCATAACAATACCTGCAATATATGTACATGTAGTCATTCCTACTTTTTTTGCCTTTGTTTTTGCTCCATCATGTCGGCCTCGTTGGTGCTGGAGCCAGAAGCAGTGTCGCTGCAGCCACAGCCAGACACGCGTCCATTCAGTCCTGCTGGCCCTGCTGGTCCTGCTGGCAGTTTTGGTGCATCTGCGAGTGCTGCTGCGGGCGCTGCTGCGTCGACGTCGACGGGCGGTGGAGCTGCTGCTGGCGGCGACGAGGCGTTTCGCTTCCAGGGCGTTGAAGTCGAGCGCGACTACTCGCATGGCATGGCGTGCCAGTTCCAGTCACAATTCCCAGTGGAGCTGACTGGATTGGTAAGAAACCGAGTGATGATGATGATGAACAGGGTCCCCTCTGACGGCAATGCTCTGACGGCAAAGCTCTGACGGCGAAACCCTGTCCAATGCGAACGCACAGCAACCGGTATATCTCACATACATTGTCTACGGCGTTCACAGATAAGTCAGGAAGCCTTCACAAAGACAATTGATCACATCAACAAGCTGTTTGAGCACTCCGAGGACGTCGACGCCAAGTCCGCACTATTTTCATTCGTTTCCTGCCTGTGCGGGTTTTTGTGTTTTCCAATGCTAGAGTCGCGCTATGATCGAGTAAGTACTCTGGATTGTGCATTGGAGTACACGTGCCAAGCACCTCTCTTTGGTGGCAGTATCGCCAGCCGTCTGCTTTCTGGGTGGTTGTCTCAATCTCAATTTCGATTTGTTTGTCGGTGATCTCATTTGTTGCTCTTGCCCCCTTTGCAGACGCTGAAGGCGCTCGACAAGTACATCCAAGACCAAAACCAGCAAGTATATCACCCATTAGGGCTCCACATCATTCCTCCGATTCGGAGCGGCCTTCGTGTGGTATGAATCCTTTTTTTTTTTTTGTTTGTTTGTTTGTTTGTTTGTTTGTTGTTGTTGTTTCGTTTTTGGCAGGCCTTGCCCGTTGCTCATCGTGTGTCTGCGTTTGTCGCAATCATGTTCTGCATGAAAACAGCTTCAAATTCGGCCGTTCTTCCAACAGAGCATATCACGCTAAATGCGTGATGGTGCAAAGCTGTGAATTGTACATGTTGTCATTGTTTGTTTGTTTGTTTAGTTTGTTGTGCTGTTGTTTGTTTTGTTTCGGCTTCGAGTCCCTCGTTATGAAAGTTGCACGTTTCAAGTTTTGCCGCTCTTGTACTGTCGTTGTTGGGGATTCGCGTGTATTTCGATAACTTTGGCACACTCACAGCACAAACACCTTTCGTAACTCGCTGACAGAGTAGGTTTGCTTGGTGCGGGGATCTGTGATGATGCCATTGTTGGCGCGTGCCATTTCCTGAAGCGCCTGTGAAAAGAAATGAGTGCATACTCAGCCAAAGTTTGGCACGCCCCAACGACCCATTTCTGCTTACCGTGAAACTGTACACGTTGCCATTTGGCAGAGCCATGGGGAGATTGTGCTCGTTCATGACTTCGCCAGAAATACGGCACACAATGCACGACTGAGTGCGGTGGGAGAAGGGCAAATCTCGGGCCAAATCGTTGATTGTTGTGGAGCACACAGGGCAGTTTGGATTCTTGTCCTCGTGTTGATAGCACATTCTGCAAGCACAAGGTGACGAAACAGAGTTGTGAGTATATCGAGGCAGGAGACTTTGTTCAAATGCGAACGTACGGTGTCTTCAGCGCTGAAAGACCCGCTTGGAGCGAAATACTCAAAAGCGATTGGGATGTAAGACTGTGGATCATAAAGCTGTCATGTCGGAACTCTTCGACAAGATCGTTCCAACAAGACGAGTCGAACAGTCGCTGCAATCAAAAGCAAACAACAAAAAAAAAACATCAAGCAAAAAATCTCGGTCAGTTCACTTTTGTGGTTTTCACTCGCTGCGCACTGCATCGCATGGAAGAAAAAAAAAAGCTCCAACCTTATAACTGTCGCAGTCTGTCGAGGGTTGGAAGGCCAGGCACCCCATGGCAGTTTGGATGTCGCGCATGTTGGTGTCAGAAAACGGAGACATGTGCTTGCGCGCATGAGCAATGGCTTCGGCGCGCTTGCCACTTCGCAGCAGCTCGACGAATTCTTGTCGACGCAGGTGGAATTCAAAGTCGCTCTGACCGAGGTGAAAATGATGCAGCAAAACGCAGGCAGAAAGAAAATCCGTCAAATTCAACATGTTGCGGATGCTTTGGAAGAAACCGTGTGGATGGGAACCCTTACCTCGGACTTTTTCAAGCGAGACTTGTTGACGTTGCACCACGCCAGAGCAGCAGTGCAATCGTGACGCTGCAAGGCCTCTTCAATGCTGCGTGATTCGAGAAAGACGTCGACGTCGACCAAGTCCTGCCACCCCCGCGGTGTGAAACAATCCAACCTCGACGTGAGTAACCACGCACACAACACAACTATTCCCGTTCGATTGCATGCTGAGCACGCAAGACTCCCGAGACGACAAGAAGTGCCACTCTACGTACCAGAATGCCATTGTCGGTCGCAAATTTGTTGGCTGTCTCGACATAACCTTCCCGCAGCAAGTGGTCGACAATGACTCGATCGAGTCGCGTCATGTTCCAAATGAGCTGCTGGTCTGGAGCACCGATTGTCTTGGCGCTCTGCTGCTGCTGCAGATGGTCGAGCCGGATTTTGCAGCGCTGAATGTCCTGGTCCTCCTTGCCCAGCACCTCTTCGACCTGCACTTCCCCCAAAAAAATCAGCATTGTAGAGCAAGGTCACAAGCAGTGAGAAACAGCAGCCATCATGAATGACAGACAGCAAGCTTCAATGCTGTGCAAGTCATCAAAATTTCAACCATTCAAGCTGGATGCAACCCCCGTGCCTCCCAAAAGCAAAACCCCATCACTCGCCTTGCGTTTGAGCTTGTGCAGACGCGCCACAACGTTCTCGATGCCCTGGACAGCCGCTGAGCCGCTGAGGCGCGAGGCGGGGTTGGCTGCGTCGGCGCGCTTCTGCAGGTCGGCGTAGGTCGCAACGACGTGCGCCATCTCCTTCTCGAGCAGCTTCTGCGAGTTGCGGAAGGACCTGTTGAGCGACTCGTACGGCACCTTGAGGAACGGGTGCTCCAGCACGCCGAGCGCAGAACCGGCACTGGACGAGGACGACGACGACGACGACCCAGTTTGCTCGTCCATCTCCAACTGGTACAGGCAGACAAGAAAACAAAAAATGCAGACTGGGACTCTGAGACTGGGATTGATTGACGGAGGCTTTCGATAATCCAATCACTAATCACTAGTGTATGAACAACGGCACTAGGTCTTGAGTTGGCCAGTTTCAAAAGTTAAATTCTACGCGTTGCTTTCGCTGACGTTCTTAACTCGAAGTTCGACTACAAGGTTACCTAATCGGTATTCGGTCATATTATTAGGACGTGAGCTCAAGGTCTTAGACAGCCTGTCTCCAACCAAAAACGCGCGACGGTTTGGCACGTTCAAGTTTCGCGCAGCAAGTCTTTGAGACCGGCGGCGTTCGAAGCTCTCTCTCTCTCTCTCTCTCTCTATCGGATATGTCTAACGACCATGATTGACATCCTGGTGCTTTCCATTGTTGAATACATTGAACGATGCCTTCTCAGCCTTCGGTACCACAACGAGGAGTGTTCCTTTCTCGTTTGAGATCTCCCATCTCGTTGATTGGATCCCATCCCATCGTTCTTACACTCACTTTTTGTTTCCATTCACCCATCGTTCTTACACGCTCACTCCTTCTTTTCCATTCATTCAAACCATCCCATAGCATGTCTGGCGAACTCAGTATGCAATTTTTCGGGTTTTTTTATTTTATTGTATTTTTGTTTGATTTTTTTATCATTTTCGAATTTATTTTATTTTATTTTTTCCCGTTCTGTTCGACTGACCCTTTGCTTTTGTTCCCTCCGCGGCGGCTGCAGAGACCGTGTATGGCACGCTGCCAGCGACAACCCGCGGTGTCCCCGTGCACCTCGGCGGCGACCCGAAGGGCAAGAACTTCCTCTACACGAACGGCCATTCCGTCTTCATCCGCGACATTAACGTAAACCGCCCCTCCTCTCCTCTCCTTCTTCACAAATCACGTTTTTGCAGGCTGACTGTCTGTGTTGCAACTTTGCCTTATGTTGGCCTTTCGATCTCCACTCTGTCGCAGCGTGCGATTCGCAGCGCCCAATGTGCGATTGAACTGTGATCTTTTGTCCCTTTTTTTTTCCTTTTTTTCTTTTTTTCTTTTTCGAAATAGTTGCCTTCTATTGATTTTTATTGATTTTTTATTTTTTTTGCGATTGCTTCGTTCCCTCCTCCTCTTCCTTCTCCTCTTCCTTCTTCCCTCTGTCTCATGTCACGCTCTCCATTCGTCTCTCTCGATTCGTTGCAATGGATGTGATTGAGCACGGCGTGCATCTGTTTGTCATGTCCTCTTTTTTTTTCTTTTTTTTTCTTTTCTTTTTTTGTTGGATTTTTTTTTGCTCACTTTTTGGCTTCCATCACGCATCCTTCCTCCACAGAACCCGATGATTGTCGATACCTACAACGAGCACCAAGTCAACGCCACCGTCGCTCGCTACTCGCCCTCGGGCTTCTACATTGCCTCTGGAGGTAAGACCAAAAACGAACAAACGCAAATCGCAAACTATGCCAAAAAGCAAAAAAAAAAAAAAAAAAAAAAAAAAAAAAAAAAGCCGCCTTCCATTTCGAGCCTCTTTTTTTTTTTATGCTTTTTGGTTTGTGGCTCAAAAGCACCAGTTCGGACGCAAAGGTGTCTGTTGCCCAAAAGGACACTTTGCGTGGATAACCAGCAATGGAAAAAGACACACAAGTAGCTCATCTCGCTTTGCGCTGTTTTTGAATGTGAACGACAGACGAGTCTGGCAAGATTCGCATTTGGGACACGGTCAACAAGGAGCACATCCTCAAGTACGAGTACCGCCCGCTCTCTGGCGCCATCAAGGACATTGGCTGGTCTGAGGACAGCAAGCGCATCGTTGCTGTCGGCGACGGTCGCGAATCGTACGTTTTGCTTCGAGCTCGTCGTTGCTTCTCGTTTTGTCTGTCGAGCCGATTGCGCCTCTTCCGTGCGACCCATTCAAAAATAACTCACGCCATTTGGCACTCGTTGGCCAATCGCAGGTTTGCCTCCGTCTTCCTGTGGGACTCTGGCTCCACTGTCGGTGAAATTCTCGGCCACAACAAGGCCATCAACTCGGTCGCCTTCAAGCAGCAACGCCCCTACCGCATTGCTACCGCTGGCGAGGACTGCATCACCAACCTCTACGAGGGCCCTCCGTTCAAGATTACCAAGAGCAACATTTCTGTGCGCCACGATGGGGTTTCTGTTTCTTGTGCTTGCTTTTTTCGTTTCAATTTTTTTTCTCACTTCTGCTGCGCTTTTCCTCCACCTTCTCAGGACCACACTCGCTTTGCCAACTGCGTCCGCTTCAACCATGACGGCTCCAAGTACCTGACTGTCGGCTCTGACGCCAAGGGCTTCTTCTACGACGGCAAGACCGGCGAGAAGATTGGCGAGCTCGGCGACGCGTCCAACAAGCACACTGGCAGCATCATGTCGCTCAGCTGGAGCGCGGATGGCTCCCAAGTCATCACGGCCTCGGCCGACAAGACCGCCAAGCTTTGGGATGTGGCACGCAACGTTGTCGTGTCGACCTTCACTTTTGGCGACGCTGTCGAGGACCAGCAGCTCGGCACCCTTTGGCAAGGCTCGCACATCCTGACTGTTTCGCTGTCGGGCTACATTAACTACCTTGACGTCAACAACCCCAACAAGCCCCTGCGCATCCTCAAGGGCCACAACAAGAGCATCAACTCGCTCTCGATCGCCTCCGACCGCTCGACGTTCTACTCTGGCTCGTACGATGGCCGCATCACTGCCTGGAACTATGGCAACGGTGAGAACGACATTGTCCAGGGCAAGGGCCACACCAACGACGTGACCCAGCTCCGCACCCAGGGCGACAAGCTCGTCTCCATTTCGGCCGACGACTCGATCCGATTCACCGACTCGGCCTCCAAGACGTACTCGGACGACAACAAGGTTGGCCTCCCCAGCGTCCCCCACGGCCTCGGCGTTTCCAAGTCCAACATTGCCGTTGTTGCCTGCCACAACTCGGTCGAGCTCCTCCGCAACGGCAAGAAGGCGTCGTCCATCAACGTCGCGTACGAGCCCCAGGCTGCTGCCATCAACCCCGCCGAAAACCAGGTCGCGGTCGGTGGCAAGGACGGCAAGCTCTACGTCTACACCTTGAACGGCGATTCGCTCGTCGAGAAGACCCAGCTCGAGAGCAAGGGCCCCGTCACCTCTGTCGCCTACTCTGGCAACGGCCTCTGGCTTGCGGTCGGTGACACCCAACGCAACATTTACGTGTACGAGGCCTCCTCGCTCGAGCGAAAGATCACCTCGTGGGTCTTCCACAGCGCTCGTGTCAACGCGATCGCATGGTCGGCAGACAACCGCCACCTTGCCAGCGTTGGCCTTGATACTAGCATTTATGTTTGGGACGTTGAGCAGCCCAACAAGCGTGTTCACATCAAGAACGCCCACCCCGGCAACATTACCTGCGTCGAGTGGCTCGATGAGAACACTCTCCTCACTGCCGGACAAGACTGCTGCGTCCGTTCGTGGACAATCAAGTACTAAGAAGTGCAAGAGGCCATCTCTGACTCTGCGCCTTTTTCTCTGCTGTCTTTTTTTTTTTCTTTACCGTGTTCTGCCGCGTTCTGCCTCTGTTGTTTTGAGGGCGGATGGAAACAAAGCGTTTCTCTCCTCCCGTCGTTCTGCCTGAGCGTTGCCGTCAGTCTGCCTGAGCTTTGCCGTCCATTTGTACATGTCGTGTTTGGTCTTTGTGCATTGCTGTTGTCCATGCAATTGATTTACGAACCTTGTGAATTAATACCTTTATATCTTCGCCAAATGTCTTGATCGGGGGTTTTCTGTGCCAACTTCAGGCCGACAACAACAACAACAGGGCGCGAGAATTGTTCATGCAAGTGTATTCGTCCAAACAAGACAAAGAACGACAAATGGCGGGGGGGGGGGATTTGCACACAAAACCCGCATCAGAAAATAATCGGCAAAGCTATCGAAAACAAAGCAGAGGGGGTGGGGGGGTAGAACCAAGCAGAAAGTGGAAGGAGGAGACAAGACTTAAACGCGACAGACGCCACAAACAACAAAAGCTGGCCTTGTGTTTCAAATCAAACCATCATACAGGGACAGAGCCTGCACAATGGACGGGTCGTTGCGCGAGCCCTCCCTGAACTCTTCGATGGTCAACCTGCCATCAGCGTTCTTGTCCATTTGCGAGAAAATCTTGTTGACGCGCTTTTCAGGGGTGTCCTCGTCTGCAGGCAGCGCCATCATGTTGCCAACCATCTTGTAGATGGCGTCCACAATCTGAAGCATTTCGTCGCGGGTGATGAAGCCGTCGCCGTCGAGATCGTACAGCTGGAAGGCCCCTGGTGATTTTTGAAGTGGGAGGGACGAATCAACAAGACATAATAACGCGCAAAAGGGTGAGCGTCGCACAACAGCATCGTTCGAAAATAATAGTAAAAGACCTACACTCGAGCTTTTCATCAAGGTTGCCGCGCGATGTGATGGAGAGCGCGCAAATAAACTCCTTAAAGTTGATGGTGCCGTCGCGATTCCGGTCAAACACGTTGAAGACATAGTCGGCAAACTTGGACGGGTCGCCAAAGGGGAAGAATTGCTTGTAAATCTTTTGGAACTCTTGCTTGTTGAGCATGCCTGACGGGCAATCCTTGATGAAGCCCTTGTACCTGAGAGAGAGAGAAAAAGAGTTGGGGTGAGATTTGGCGCTGTCTTCTAGCTTTGTTTTTTTGTTTGTTCTCGTTCAAGCAAGGCCTCGGATCAGGTGTACCAGCGAATGGCTCGTGCTAGAGTGTGGCTGAGGGACGACTGAACCAACCAAGGGAACTGGGACTAGGACTGGGACGAATGGGCGCAGTGCAATGCGAATTCAAAATGGGAAACCAAGCCAACCAAAACGCCCAACACACGTCCCGTTTTCGCTCTGCCTTTGTCGTCGCGCGTTTTTTCACTTGCTGTCGTAGCGCACGTTGCTCACTCAATCATGAGAACGCGTTCGTCTCCTCAACCGAGGACAGCAATTCAAAAGCAGAATGAACAAAATAAAAAAATAAAAAAAAATAAAAAATAATAAAAATAACGAATAACGTTGCTGCACTGTAACGCGAGAGGCAGTCCGAGCTGCGAGCGACGCGTTGCACAAGCAAGCAAATGAGAGAGACATTGAAAAGCGAGAGTCATAGAGAGTCATAGAGAGAGAGAGAGAGATGGAACGCGGATGAGACAACCAGTAGTGCGCTCAAAATAAACAAAAAGGGCAGGAAACGACTCTGCAGTGAATGAAGCGGGAAGGAGAGAGGGGGTTGGGGTTGGGGTGGAAGGAGGGGGTTAGGGTTGAGTGAGGTGGTTGCAGAGGCAGAGAGGCGGAGCGACGCCAGCCAAACGCAATAGCAAGAGTCAAGAGAAAAAAAAAAAAAAAAAAAAAAGCCAAATTTTGTATGGTTTTACCATTGTTGGAGTTCTCGACGGTCGACTGTTACGGAGCGAGTTCACAAGCGATATTGCAAAATGGTACCACGGCGATCGACAAACAGTTAGTAAATGACGCACTTTCGCACTTCCCTTCTGCCACTCAACCCCCAACACAAACACACACAAGAGTCAGGCCCAAAGGGTACACAACGCACAGTAAGTGACTTTGAGGAGGTCGTCGAGCTGCTCTGGCTTGAGCTTTGAGTTTTGCTTGCCCATGATTGTAATGCACGAGAAGTGGGTACAAAGAAAATGGCGACTGAGGCTCAGATTTGTCTGAGATACTTGGAGAGTGGAGTTGAATGTTGCTACTGTATCGTGCTCAACATGACTGTAGAACAGAATGCGCGTGGCGAAGCCCGGACTGCGTTTGCAAAAAGCCCTCCTCTGAGAAAAATCTCGCTTGGTAGCTCAGATTCGTTCGCAATCACCCATCCTATCAAGCAATATTACAAAGTGGTCAATACAGTAACTTTTTCCTATTGGGTTGGTTTCTCTGAGCCAGTCTCAGTCTTTCAGCAGCAAAACAATGGATTCCGCGCTCAAGCCGGTCAAACGGCCAGCAGACGAGCCAGCGGATGGCATCCACTCACATTCACAAGGCGAGCCTGCATCACAGCCACGTAAAAAGGTAACCCCCCCCCCCCCTCCCCGTCCCCTTGCATCTCGAGGCGAGTCGCATTTGGAGTTGTTGTATGAGAGTTGCATTGGAAGCTGGCTCTTTGGATAGGCGCCGCTCACTCTGCCAAACCCGCCCGGACTGTGAACATGAATACTATGGTGTGTTTGTTTGTTTCCTGAACGTTGAACGTTGTATGACAGTACTATCGCGCTGATCTGGACGAGGACAGCGACGACGAGTTCAAGCAGTACCGAAGCGAGAATCGTCGCGCCAACGCCAACGCCGGCGCCAGGTCGACCCAAGCTCAGTCCCAGACCCAGCCCCAGGCGCAGGAGGGCAATGCACTCCCAGAGACCGAAGGAGGCGACGAGGACGACGACTATGTGCCGTATGTGCCGGTGCGCGAGCGTATGAAGGAGCAGATGGCCAAGGTCATTGGCGTCGACCATCGCAAGCTCGCCTCTGCTGGAGCATCAACGTCTGAAGGCAGCTCGGATGTCAATGCAGAGGCGAACGCGGCGGCGGCGGCGGCGGCGGCGGCGGCGGCGGGTGAAGGTGGGCCAACGCCATTCACATTGGATCGGTTTGAAGCGCCCGCTCGTCCGACCGTGAGTCTGCTCGATCAGCACGTCGAACTCCAAAAGCAAGGCGATGGTAAGATGGCAGCGCTTTTGGACTCGCTGTGACTTTTTGTCGGGAAGTGGGGCAGGAAGGTTTGGTTTGCTTGGTTTGGTTTGGTCGGATTTCGAGTTTGTTTTGCTTTGCTCTGTCGTTCTGTGACGTTCACTTGAGGCATTCGCTATTTTGTTTTGCGGTTGGTGTCAACAGGCGTGGTCGAGTCCGAGTTGGACAAACGCCTACGAGAGGAAGAGGAAATCTTCAGAAACGTCACTGAAAAGACCGCGCTGATGGGTGCTGCCGAAATCGCAAAGGGTGTCGTGTACACGGAATCAATGCCCAAGAGCTGGCGCCCACCTCGGTACATCGAGGCACTGACAGATGACGAACGGCAAAAGATTTGGGAGGAAATGCACATTATTGTGGAAGGCGACGACATTCCGCCGCCCATCAAGACCTTCCGCGAAATGAAGCTTCCCAAGTCCATCATCAAGCACCTTGCCAAGCGAGGCATCAAGGCACCCACGCCTATTCAAATTGAAGGCATCCCCGTTGCGTGAGTGTCGCTTTCTTTGGCTGTGGTTTGGTTTTGTTTGCGTTGACTGCGGCTTTTCAGGGGCGTGTTGCTCTGCTGAACCTCTATTGACTCAAAAACTGCATACATTTCGAATCGCAGATTGAGTGGCCGAGACATGATTGGCATTGCTTTCACTGGTTCTGGCAAGACGCTCGTCTTCTCCCTCCCGATCGTCATGTTCGCTTTGGAGCAGGAGCTGAAGCTTGGGTTTACCAGCGGCGAGGGTCCATATGGTCTGATTCTTGTGCCTTCTGTACGTTGTTGTCTGTGTGCACCTCCTCCTCCTCCTCGGATGATTCGAGTGTGGCTCACATTGGCTGTCGTTTGCTTTTGTTTGCTGGCTCTTTGCAGCGCGAGTTGGCCAAGCAAACCTACGATAATCTTCAAGCGTATGCAAAGGTGCTTGCCACGGAAGGATTTCCGCTGTTGCGCGTGGCACTCTGCATGGGCGGTGTCAATATGCGAGAGCAACTGGATTCGATGCGCGAGTACGTATTATTTTTTTTGTCTTGTTTTTGTCTTGTGCACTCTTAATCTTGCTCCTTGTGGTCTGCTAACGTTCCATCTCGTTTGTTCTTTTGTTCTACAGTGGCGTGCATTTGATGGTTGCGACACCTGGTCGTCTGATCGACCTGCTGCAAAAAGGAAAGGTGAACTTGGACATTTGTCGCTATCTTACACTGGACGAAGCCGATCGCATGATTGATATGGGCTTCGAAGAAGACATGCGAACAATCTTTTCCTTTTTCAAGGTAATTGGATCGTCTCCGGGGTGGCAGCGCTTCTGGCAACTAGTGTTGGATGATTATTCACTCGAAAAAATCTCTCGTCGTCTCCTCGCTCTGTTGATTCCTCCAATTTGTAGGCGCAACGACAAACGCTCCTTTTCTCTGCAACAATGCCCAAGAAAATCCAAGACTTTGCCAAGTCTGCGCTGGTGCGACCTGTCATTGTCAATGTCGGTCGTGCTGGTGCAGCCAACCTTGACGTCGTGCAAGATGTGGAGTACGTGAATGTCGAGGCACGCTTGGTCTATCTGTTGCAGTGTCTGCAAAAGACTGCGCCGCCAGTCATCATCTTTGCCGAGAAGAAGGCCGATGTCGATGAAATTCACGAGTACCTCCTGCTCAAGGGCGTCGAAGCTGTTGCCATTCATGGTGGCAAGTCCCAAGAGGAGCGTGAGTGGGCTATTCGCTCATTCAAGGACCATCTGAAGGACGTGCTTGTTGCCACCGACATTGCTGCCAAGGGTCTTGATTTCCCCGACATTCAGCATGTGATTAACTTTGACATGCCTGAAGAGATTGAAACATATGGTAGGTCAACATGTGTGTGTGTGTGTGTGTGTGTGTGTTTTGGAGGAGGTGAAAGTCGATCGTCGCTGACTTGAAATTGCTTTTGCTCCCCTTCCCCTGCAGTCCACCGTATCGGTCGTACAGGTCGCTGTGGCAAAACGGGCACAGCATCAACTTTTGTCAACAAGACCGTGCCCGAGTCGGTGCTGCTGGACGTCAAACACTTGCTCATCGAAGCACATCAGAAGATTCCGCCCTTCCTGCAACAACTGCAGTCCGAGGCAGAGCAGTACCTGCATATTGGATGTAAGGTTTTGATTCATCAGAGTGGGAATTGTTTTGGTCCAAGTGCCTCATCGCTTCCTTTTCTTTGCAACTTGCACAGCAACACGCGGATGTCAGTTCTGCGGTGGTCTTGGTCACCGTATCGCGGAATGCCCCAAGCTCGAGGCCCAGCAAAAGCAGAAATTGGTCGGAAGCAAAGACTACCTTGGCCGTGGCGGTGGTGGCGATGGCGGCGGTGGCGGTTATTAACACCCTTGTGTTCTTGTTCTTGGAGAGCTGTTCAAGCGACAAATTTTCCGAAAATACACAAATGGCCTGCTTCAATATCACAATTTCTTGTTTATTGTTCATTGTTCTTCTTCTTCTTCTTCCTATGAATGTTTCAGTCGTAATTTCGAGTCGTCAGGATGAGCGTTCGAGCGTCCGCACGAGCGGCCGATGCAGCAGCCAAAAAGGCCGCTTCCACCACGTCGATGGCAGCTCCTCAAGGCCAGTGGGTTTGTCTCATGCCGGGTAAGCAAGTGTCTTGCTTTTGTCACTCCATGTTGCGCTGGAACGAGCTACCTGTTGACTGGATGGACAATCTCTGCTGTCTTTGACAGAAGCGGTTGTTGCTCGTGAAGGATCGACCTCGCTGGCGACCATGCCCCACCCGCGGACAGGTAACATTACTGGGAGCGCGATCTGCTCGTGCGATGTGTTGCTGTGGTTGTTGTATACGCATGGGGGCGGCCTTTGGTTGGAATGAGCGGCGTTAGGAGCAAGAGCGTCGATGAGCATTTTTTTTTTTTTGGCGGGAGTAACCGTTTTCCCGCCAAAATCATCAATCACAGATCCGGAGACTCGTTGAATCCGGAGCAGCTCACCAACTCACTCCCACGTTGTGCATTGATTTGTACTGTATTTTGGTCCTTGTGGCCCTTGCAGCGGAATCTGCACGTTATGTGGTTGACACAGCGCCTGACGGCAAAGTCCAACTCTACGAGCTCCAATCGTGCGACAGCCAACCCCGCTCCTGGTTTGTCGGCCAAACAGTGCAACAAGGTTTGGATCTTCACGCATGTTGCCGCGTCTGACATTTGGCGGCACAAAGGCAGTTATTCACCAGATTCGCTCTGCTGTTGATGCATTTGGCAGACGGCAGGTTGTTCGTTTCAACCTTGATCGACCCATTGTTCCTCGCACTCGGAATACTGACTCGGTTAGATAGTGTACGAGAATATCAAGATGCTGTTGGGTTTTGCCGAGGCCAGGACTCTCAAAATTGACAAAATGAATGTGTTGCAGAAAATGTTCCTCGACATCACCCAAGCGCTTGACGTCCAAGACTTTCCTGCCACTCGCGTACTAAGCACATGCATTAGCCCGCAGTCTGCTGAGCGAATCTGTGATGTCAAAGGTACTTTACGGTCGCCTGCAGAGATGTGACCGCTCGGAAATTGGTTTTTCAAAGCTCAAAGTTTCTCGAATGTATTTTGCTACAGACTTGGGAGGTCTTGTGGTGATTCGCCTCAACCAAGAGCGCGCGGACAACTGGTTGCAGGGCAAAGTAGGCCTTGGAGTACGCGATTTGCTCTCAGTTTTGCGCTGTGACTCAACATTCCAGAATCACTCGAAAATAGGTGACAAGGCTGGCGGCGTACTTGAAGACAACCACCGTGGCGGTCGGCTCTGCCGTTCAAGCAAGCTCTCTTCAACGAGCTGGCACTGAGGGTGAGATCAACGCAACGCAGTAGTGCGTTTTTCTTGTTGTGGCCTCGAGCTGACTGCAATCGCTATCCTGTCTGCTGTAGCTGACTACCTCAAGTACGCGGTTGGCATGATCTCCGAGTATCTGGATCCCACTTGCAGCGCGCGCTTGGCAGAGCGCAACGGGTACGGGCTTGGTCGTGTGAATTATTTTGTTGCGGCGCATGCTCGGATTCATCGATTCACATGCATTTATCAAACGCGCAGGGTTCAACTGGTGGAAGAAAAGCGTGCAGGAAAAGCTACCCATTCGGAGCGATTTGCAGACGAGGACAAGGAGGAAACGCCCGAAGAAGCCGCCAAGCGTGCAAAGGAGGACGAGTTTTTCAAGTCCACGCCGAAAGCAAAACCCGCAGAGCAAGCTGAGAAGGCAAGCGATGAAGAGATCTGCGTTTTATTTCAAGATGATGCTTGTTTGCCAAATGAACGTGGGCATGTATTCACTGGAACTTGAGGTGACACTCTCACGCCTGCCTGCAGAAGGTCAAGTTAACATCGGTGCAACGGAGCTTGGCAAAGGCCGACACGAAAGGAGTCAAGCCCATTTCTAGCTTTTTCGGTGGTGTTGGCAAGAAAAAGTAAAACGCTTCAATTCAGCAATACAGCAGCAGGGTTGTGGCATTGACCAAATTTCAACTACAGCACCAAAAAAAAAATGCAAAACAATGGTAAAATGGAGGGAAATTGGAGTCAAGCGTACTCGACATCCAAGACAAAAACAAACAAACAAAAAAACACCAAAAAGTACGACACTGGAACATGTCAACTGAACAAAGCGGACGACACGAAAACCACGGCGAGCTCGTTTACGAGAAGCTCTTGAGCTGCTCCTCAATGTTCGCAAACAGCATGTCGTAGTCCACATCCGACGTGGGTGCACCTTCAAAGGAGGCCGTCTTGGACGCAGATTCGCTGATGGCGTCGTTGGTCGCGTCGCTTTCCAGCAATGCGGCCATCTCAATCGCAGAGTCCGGAATGGCGGTGGCTTCGATCTGGATGGCAACAGGGACAACCGGGGCAGGCTGCTCAACAGCGGCAACAACAGCAGACGCGGATGGCTTGGGCAGGGTCGCGGGAGCAGGTACAGGGGTTGCAATCAGAGCGGCGGCCACGGCAGCAGGTGAGGCTAAAACAATTCAGGAGGAAAATACAAACCGGCCGGTCAGTACGATGCGCTCGGCGTCAACACGACCAACAACCAAAAAGAACGAAACCAAAAAACGCTTACGCTCGTGCACGGATGTCGGACGGACACGCTTGAGTTTGGCAGCAAGCTCGTCGTTGATCGGAATATGTCCGCTGGGCTTGCTACCAGCCGAAGAGTGCGGACCGTCGGTGCTCTTGAGGCTCTGTGGAGAAAAAAAAAGTAAAAAAAAGTTGAGTCGCGTTGGCATCCCTGAATCCACCCGAACGACACAAAGTACAGCATATGATTGATTCTTACCAGCATGGAAGCGAGTTGGCTCATCTGACCACTGGCGACAGCAGGCTGCAAACAAAGCATCACCCAAAAAAAAAAAAAGCAATCGGACGATTAGGGCGCTCCTTGTTCTGCAAACCAAACCAAACCAAACAATGATAGATAAACCCGCAACAAGTCAAACATACCGCTGCTTGATGCGAAGTCTTCTTGAGGAGGACAGCACCGCTCTTGATGCGGTTGATCATTTCAGAGAAGGCTTCGGCACGGGGGTCGACGGCAACCTCAACGGCTTGGCCTGTGAGAATGCTCATCTGTGAGCGCTTCTTCAGACGAAGCGTGGGGCGATCCATCGGGTTGTAGGTCGGCGGAAGCGGCGGCGGGGGCGGCGGGGGGATGCCGGCAACCGCGCTGAGCACGCCCTGGACGCTGGAGGCCTCCGGATCGATCGCAGCGGCGCGAGCGGCGGAAACTTCGGCAACTAGTGATACGGAAGCCAGAAGGTGATGAGGAATCAAGAAAGTTACAAGTCACCATTTTTTCTTCTTTTTTTTTTTTCTTTTAGAAGTATGGCACTCACCTCGTCGCTCGGCCTCTTCGGCACGCTCCTCGGCGCGCGATAGCTTTTCATCGCTACGTTCGAGCAAGTCCTTCATCATTGCGACCTGTCGCTCAAGTTCTGAGGGTGGTACAGCCGACACAAAATCATTCAACAAAAATCAGTCCATGCGAAAACCTCTCCCTCGACTCTAATTCTGTTGCAAGAATGGAACCACATACCGACAATGCGGTCGTTGTTGGCAGACGCTTCGGCAAAGGTGGCACGCGCTTCAGCCTGCTGGCGGAGCTGTTGCTCTGCCAAAAGATCGGAACGGAGCGCAGCAGTCTCGCGCTGGAAGACCTCGGTGACTGAACCTTGCGCGGCGGATGCGGCAGAGCGGGCGGCCTCGGCGAGCGCGGCAGCTGACTCTTGCTGTTGCTGCTTCAGCTGCTGAAGATGCGTTGCCTGGGTCTCCTCCAGCCGCTGCTGCAACAGCGCGACGTTGGTCTTGAGGTGCTCGATCTGAGCGTTGGACGAGTCGTTGGCCTCGCGCAGCGCGGTCTCGAGCTTGATCTTGGCGTCCTTCTCGGCCTGGACTGCAACGACCAGCTTCTGCACCTCCTCAGCGAAGGCCGAGTTGTTGACGGACAGACGGTGCTTGGCCGTTTCCTCGCTGTGAGCTTGCAGCTGCTTGATGTGCTCGAGCAGCTCTGCGGCGTACTTTTCGGCCTCCTGGCGCGTGAAGACGGCAATTTCGTACTGCTCCTTGAGCTCGTTGAACTCTTTGAACGCGACCTTGGAGACGGAGACAATCTTGGCGAGCGTTGCCTGGGCGTTGGCGAGCTTGGTGCGATCCGCCGCAGCGCCTTCGACCAGCGCGCGCGACTCGGCATTCTTTTTCTTTTCGTTGTCGTACTTGACGCGGATGTCGTTGAACTCGCCGAACGCTGATGCAGGGTCGTTGAGAAGTGAGACAAAGCAATTTCAATGACAAAGCAATCCCAATGCCAGTCCATTCTCTCTCTCTCTCTCTCTCGCTCTCTCTCGCTCTCTCTCGACTCTTGCGGCTCACCTTTGGTCGCGACGGCCTTCAGCTTGGTCAGCTTGGCCTCGGCGTCCAGCTTCTCGGCAGTCGTCTCCTTGAGCTGCTGGGTCAGCTTTTGGACCATGATGTCGGCGCCTGGAATTGCTGCCATTTTCCGACTTGTTGCCTTAAAAATACAAACAGATGAAAAACAAAAAATTGACTGAAGCTTGCATTACAAAGTCGAAGAGTTTCGCGTTTTTGGATGTTGAGAGTTGTTGGTGTCGCTTTTTGATGTGCAACACACTATGAGCGAGTGATGGTTGAATAATGGTTCTGAAGGGCTTTGGAGAGAATGGGGAATGGTCGTGGGGGAAACAAAGAGACAATCTGCATCGTGCTGTGAACACAATGTTGGAGTTGTGTGTTTGACTTGTGTCGCGCACTTGAAGAGTCGTCGGTGGATACCCCAAACGACATCTGCGCATTGAATATCTGCAGGATTTTTCTTAATTGCATTGCTAGTGCTAGCTCGTGTTGGTTGTTTGACTTCTAGAGGTTGAGGCCAAATTCCAACCTGTCTCGGCCAAATTCCAACCTGTCTCGGCCATCACGGCGAAGTCTATGAGCTTGCGGTGCTTGAGTTGCACCCGCAGTAACTATTACTGCACAGAGCGAGCGCAGCATTCAGCCGATAATGATGATTGAAAAACAGCCTTGTTTGCTTTTTTTTCTTCTTCTTTTCGCCGGATGCGTGTTTTCGCCGGATGCGTGTTTGGTGAGCTAGCAGTAGCACCAACAAGTTGTTTTAGTTTTGCTTTTCTTCGTTGCGAAGTTTTGTCTACGAATCCAATTTTACATGTTGTCTGTACGCCAAGCAACGACGCCTTGTGCGGGAAAGACTGTTGCATGTCGAGCAGATGTTTGCATCGAGATCGACCAACCATTCCAATTTCATCGCCACTCTTCCTTTGTTTTACTTTTTTCACTCTTTCCCGAATGTTGAGCAGTCGACCTTTTGCTTCTTCTGTCTTGGCGACGGCTCCGCGCCTGATCAAGCCAACTTCTGCGACGAAGACCCGCTCATTCGCAGCACTCGCCTTCCGCGGTGCCACCGCCACCCGCCTCACCGTTCATGTGCGTCTCTTTGTCTATGACAGACCACTGCCTTGTGGGAATTGGGAAGTAAGAGTTGCGGAGACTACCTCTTTGGCGCGAGAATTTTGTGTCTCGGCGGCCCCTTTTTTAGGAGTTGTTTTTGCCAACCTTTGTTTTTTCGCTCTTTCCTCAACCCCATGTCCACACGCCGTTTGCTTCTGCATGAGTATGTGACTGTTCACTTGAGATTTACCACTGCAACCACATCACGCACGATGCCAAACGTTGTCCGAGTTCTAACTTGCCTTTTTCTATGAATTTACAATCAGCAGAACGGAGCTTTCCAGCAGCGGACTTCAGTGCCAATTGCTCGGCGTTCTCTGTCAGTCTTGACACAAGGGCAAGCGAGGGCCGCGACAGAGAATGCTGCTGCGTCCACCTCCCATGCTAGCTCTGTGAGAGAGAATTGTGCCAGTTGTTGTGTGTGTACTGGAAAACTTACGAGGCATGCTCAAGCAGAGTGCTGTTCAACCGAGTGCTGTTGAAACGAGTGCTACTCAAGCGAGCAACAACAGCGCCAACCAGGCAGCACCCCTCCCAGTCAGTCCCTCTTGGTTTCCGATGCGGATTGTGCGCTGCACCAAAACCTCACAATTTTGCGTTTCATAGGTCCCTGCTCATCTCAAGGCTGATGAGCAGCAGCAGTCCCTTGCTTTGAAACACCCGCTGCTCGAAAAGCTGTTTCGTAAGGCTAGTTTGGCGAGGGCGGGTGTCGTGATGCGCTGCTGACCGACTCTTTTCGCATGGACATGACAGAGGTCAAGTGGAAGATTCCCAGCCTTCGCAAGCATCTCCTCATGGCGCTGTCTACCAATCCGCCCTCCACGCAGAATGAAGTGGACGTCCTTGTCTGCGAAATCCGCAAGTTCTCGTCCCAATCAACTGCCGGGGATGTGGCTAAAGCGCACGCTTCAAGCATGGCGAACAAGGACGAAACGCACATCGCCAAGAACGCTCGCCTGGCCGTGGAGAGACTTCTCGAGTCTATTAAAGCCTGGCTGCAAAAGTTCGGTGAGAACTGCCATGATGTGTGTGTGTGTGTGTGTGTGTGTGTGTGTGTGTGTGTGTGTGTGTGTGTGTGTGTGTGTGTGTGTGTGTGTGTGTGTGTGTGTGTGTGTGTGTGTGTGTGTGTGTGTGTGTGTGTGTGTGTGTGTGTGTGTGTGTGTGTGTGTGTGTGTGTGTGTGTGTGTGTGTGTGTGTGTGTGTGTGTGTGTGTGTGTGTGTGTGTGTGTGTGTGTGTGTGTGTGTATGTGTGTGTGTGTGTGTGTGTGTGTGTGTGTGTGTGTGTGTGTGTGTGTGCGTGTGTGTGTGTGTGTGTGTGTGTGTGTGTGTTTGTGTGTGTGCTCTCATCAACCACGCACGGTGCATCAACAACAGAAATGCTGAAAACCACGCCAAGTATGATCCGAGATTCTCTCGATGGTTTGATCAAATTGAAACGGATTGACCGAAAAACAGTAAGTTTCCAACACAGCTCGATGTCCACGTTGTGAAATTTCTCTCATCTTGTCGCTTTTCAGGGCACCAACGACGACCCACTGGTAGACATGCAACTGGCGACCTCCTCCCTCACGGCGATGCTGGAGAATCGCTTTGATGTAATGCTCGACAAGGACAGTGATCGGCGTAAACTTCGGCCGTTTCTTGTTTCCACGCTCCCTGGTAGCGGGAAAACGCGACTTTGTACCGAGTTTGTGAAGCGAATTGCCCCTGCTGTTTTCCGGAGGCGCGGCATTGTTCCTCTTTGCTTGTACGTCTCTTTCAACGACTCCGAATGGACCACCCCCAAGGCCAATCCCGAGCATGCTCTGTCGACTCGCCTGCTGACTGCCTACTTTAAAATTCCCCCGAGGTTTTTTGAGGACAAGTTTGAACAAACTGGCAGCTTCCAAGTTGCTGCTACGCTCCAGTTCATTCAGGAGTTTGAGTACTCGGTTCGTAACGGCGGGCGACAACCTACGAGTCAAGATCAACTGCCGTGGCTCGCCATCGCCGTTGACGATATCGACATGTTGCCTAGGTTTTTGACCCGGTCCAAGCAGGATACCGCCTGCAGTTATGCTCAACGACAACAACATCTGCTCAAAAGCACGTTCTCGTCACTCAAGGATGCCGTTATGCGCCCTGAGGCGCGGCTCTTTGTGCTTTACTCGGGAAGCTATCTATCGGCGGAGCATCTCACTGCAGGCCTGGCTAAGCCGAGCGACTCTGGGACCAGCAACGTGGATGTCGATTCTGTTCCCATGTATCCGTTCCATGGTGCACACATCGCGCTGTTCGCCGACGTGGTACAAGAGTCTGGCAGTTGGCGCAACAGGGATCGGAAGTATGTGAGCCGACTTTACGATTCCGGTGGTGTCCCAGGCCACATTAAGGATGCCTTTGGCTTGGATCTACGCTGCGTACCACTCCGCCCAGACATCCGCACGCTGATCGAGCTCGTGCACTTCTGCTCGTTCGACGCGAGCTCGATCAATCTTTCGAGTCTGGCCTCCCGATTTCTCGCTTGGATTGGCACTGGATGTGCTTTCGTCGGTCAGTTGGCGTTTTGGTGGCACTTCAAGATGGTGTCTCGATTGCATGACTGATTGTGCTTTGTTGTTGGTTCCTGTCGTCTGATTGCTGACACCCACCACAGCGTGCGACACTGCCAACAAGGGGTCGATGCAGTTCAATTTGCGAGGGGACTTGAAGCTTGGTACGGATTGTGGAATTGCTGTTGTGATTGTGATGCGAGAAATTGCTTCCATCTGCTCACCTGCAATCCGCGCTCGTTCCAATGTTTGCAGATCTGACTTCGGGTCGTGACGTCCCACCGATTTGCCACCACCTCGCAGAAACTTTGGCCTGCTTCCTCAAAACCCTCAGTCGCGACTTACAATTCCCGCCTCCTCGTTCTTCTGCGTGGGAGCTGCTTGTGGTCAACCTTTTCAACGTGCGAGTGACCGCCTTTCTCGCGAAAACAGTGCTGGATCAGGGTGCCGCACCCCTTTACATTGATGTGCCGCTGAGTCAGGTGCTACCAGGTGTCACGTTTGGCTTGGGATGTGACAAGGTCAAACTGCGATTGTCACCACGAGACTGGAGCAGCAGGTCTGGCATGAAACTGACTGAATATGGCGCCAACCAAGTACTTGACAGCTACATGCAAACTCAGGTCGTTCAAACTGTAGGTTGAGGCTGCCCAAAGCAGCAGCGCTTGCATCGACGTTTTGTTGGTCGTTGTTTTTCTCACAGTCGTTTGCCTCATTACCATGACATGAATGCAGTCTGTCATAGGGAGTGAAAAAGTGGGTCCAGGAGTTATCGGGCTGCAATTGAAGCTTCATTCGGCTCTCCATCCCACCGAACAAGACATGCTCAAGAGACTAGCAACCAATGTCCGTGATCGTCTCGCAGATGACTCGGAGAAAGACACCGTAAAACTGGTCGGGATCATGTTGCCATCTCGAGGGACAAACGCAAAGCCGCCACCGCTGTCGTGGGTGCTTCAGCGCGCTGACTTGGACCAGTTTGCTCAAGGCTTCCAAGTCGCTGTCAAGAGTAAGTTTCATACTGCAGAAATGTGTTTGCGAAAGTTGATTGTGAGAGGACACTCATTCACGCATTTGACCCAACCCAATAGGCACCTACTCGTTTGACCCGCACCACAGTCTTATGGCGCACATCGCGAGCAGCCTCTACTCGTTTGAGTCAGAAACGACCGGCTATCGTCCATCGCAGCTCGTCTGCATGGCGTTGGCCCGCCTGCTCGTTCAGCAACGTAAATGCGGTTCGGTGTTTCGAACCGCACAAGACTTGCGCAACTTCTTGCTTCAAAAAATCGGCCAATCCGTAAAAGTCTCTTGGACGGAGGGAATGATGCTGACAAAGTTCGCGCCAAAGTCTACCGGGCCAGCAGCTCAGCGATTCAGCCATGTCCTCTATCCCGAGGATGTCCCACCTCTAGATGTTCTTCACTGGTACTTTGCCCTACCGGATGAACAGGCAACGTCTTCTCCAAGGTCCACTGAGGATGATTGAAGGGCTTGTCTTGACTCGAATCATTCGTTTGCAACAAACTCTCGTGACTTGATCACGCCAACTGCTCTCGGAGATCACAAACTTTATCATCATTCACAATAGTTTTTGGATGCTGCTGTTGGGACCTGTGCCGGTCTCACGAATGTGGGCTGGTACTGGGCTTGCGAGATCATCACTTCAGGTCGCGCTGAAGCTTGGTGCTTCCGCATCAGTGTGCAGTGCATTGAAAGGGAAAAAGTTGCGTTGTTTTTCCGAAAAAAAGGGAACTGTGCCAAACTCTCATGTGTTACAAACAATAGCATCAGAGCTGAAGTACCGGCGGAGAAGGACAGGTTTAGTGTGAACAGACAGGGAGCTGAAAACAACGACAACAGCAGAAAGGTGCCGACTCAAATCAATCGCTTCTTGCGCGATGGGAAATATTCGTCGGCCTTGAGCTGCACCCAGCCCAGCAGGGCTTTGAGGCCGTTTCGTTTGCCACGCGGAACATGGCCAAGGGACCCGTCCGACGGTCCACCAGCGAGGTCTGTCAACACAGGGCATTCAGTGCAACCGATGGTGAGGCCCCAGCGGCATCTTGACGCACAAAACCATCGGGCGAGAACGGCGTGGTGGTGCATGCCAAAAAGGGAGTTCTTACCTGAACTTTGAGAAGGCGCAGAGCCAACTGTTGGCAGCGTGTTTTCGTTGGCGGAGAGCGAAATGAAAAAGACAAAAGGGATCAGCCAGACGCAAAGAGTAAAGTAGGCGACAATGTGCAAGAACGGGAAGTACTGGGCAGTAAACACTGAGAAGGACGCGAAATGGTGCACAAACACCATGACTGTAGGGATTGCAGGGAAGTGGTGGAGGTGAGGCAGACCAAAGTCAAAGTCAGGCAATCACGGCAGTTCGAGCTCAATAACATAATCTACGAGAAGCCAAATAAAAAATGCAATGCCATCATTACCGCAGCTGCCGATAAATTCAAAGGAATACACGGTAAAGTACGGGTAGGTTCGAAGCAGGCGGAGGTAGATGCCGTTCGCAGCAAGACCCACAATGACCGTTGGCCAGATGGGAATTCCATCAAAGATGAGGAGAATGTGCATCACCATGATACCCTGCCAAACGCCGATCACAAGCATGGAGGAATCATCGAGTCAGCAACAGAAGTAGAGAAAGAAACCAAAAAACAAAAAAACGCTCAGCGACTTACATAGATGGTGTACGAGATGACCCGCTTGGCCATCGCCGTGTGCTCCTCGACCAGTTCGGCCAGATAGTACAGGCCACATGCTGTTGAATTATCGAGATGATCAAAGCATGATGGGAAAGTGAGCGAGTGTAAGCCAAGTGAGTTTGAGCACGATAGCTCCTAAGCGAATCTGAATAATGCAGTCGTCGTGCAGCGGTTTTTGCATCGTAGAATGCGATGTGCTGCTATTGTAATTTGAGCCGAGCGAGTGTGGAATGCCTTCTAAGTCTTCCATAGTGCAGTGAAGGGAGCAGGCCGACGCAATGCAAGCCCCAGCGCCACGTCGCTTCCACTTTTGCGTCCGTCGTCCGTCCTCCCCAAACCCCGCGTCCGCCGACCACGAGTGCGACTGCGTTGTCACATAGAAGATGTCAACGATGGATGCACGCCGAACGCATTGCATAGCGTGGCAAGAGTCATCCACCCCGCAGCGTTTGAACGTCTGGGGATCAAGCGCGTTCGATATGACGCGTCGCTGCACTCTCAGTACGATGGCGGGGCTATCATGGTGTTGATGCTGATGATGATTTTGGTAAAACTGTACCCAGGCAGAGTGTGGCGAACGTGACAAGGACGACCACCGCCACCCAAGCCAGTCCAAGCAGAAACATCAAAGCAAAAAAGGCGGGAAGGAAGACTGAGATCCATAGAGTAGTCGAGAAGCCAGAAAGGAAATGGAGAGCCACTAAAGTTTACATCACAAGGTCGAATAGTAAGAGCAGCTGTCAGACCGGCGAGGTCGCCGTGTAGAGCCGAGCTGATTGACGGTTTCGGGAAATGGTTTTGATGATATTGTCAGATCAGGACAAGTTTATGCCGTCAAACTTTGAGATCTGACAGTAAACATAGGTGTTAATTTGACGTTAGAGTGGCGAGGCGGTAGCAGCGAGTGAGTGCTATTTGACTGGTTGCTGCGCTCTGAAAGGCCAAATCATGCATCCTGTTGTTCAGTCGCCACACCGCGACTCAAGGTCGCAAAATCGACAACTGCACGACATCTAGCAAAATAAAGCACTCTTTTAAACATAATTTAGGTCGAAAATGTGGCACTTCATGCACGGAACAGCTCGGAATGCGCGTTAATGAAACTTCGATTCGTATTGGCTGCTGTAGCGCCTTCCTACCGTGTCCTCTGACATCCTCACCTTAATAAATATCATCTGAATTATTTTTATAATTGTGGAGGACCATTTGGCGCGCAGTCGATCATGTTCAAATGCTACAGGGTCGAGCCAACTTTGACGGCTGGTCGAAATGCAAGCGCTTCTTTTTGTATTCCGGCCTGTCTCAAAATCCACAGGATCAACGCTTGCTTTGACGTTCCGGCGTCTCCAAGCTCGACAATGCACATCATTTTCACATGCCCGGGGCTCTTCGAGGGCCACAGAGGGAAAGGGGGAACACGGGGAGAAAGGCGGGAGCTAGAAATCGGATCCCACCCCAAACTCGCCAAACTGCATCAACTTCCATGGTGTTGGATGAATCACGTTGACTCACAGTCATGACGATGAATGCTTTTTTTTTCTTTCCGAATTCACGAAAGCACTTTTCCGTTTTGATCCGATTTAGAAATCCAAAAAACAAAAAACCTCAGTCATTCTATTGTTTCTTTGGTACGCTTTTTTTTTTTTTTTTTTTTTTTTTGGTTTCTTCTTTGGCTTTCTTTCGCGCGCTGCAGCTTTTCTTTTCACCCTCTTCTTCACCCTCTTCATCTTCATCGTCATCTTCAACCATTCTCTTTCTCTCTCTGTCTCTCTCTCCCTTTCGGTGTGACTACCTCTCACACTCGCATCCACATCGCACACAGTGGCCTGCACACTTGCATCGGGCCATGTGCTGCTCTTTTTTTTTTTTTCAAAGTGTGTCTCAGTTGTGTCTCGGTCTGCAATTGCCAGTGCAACTTTACCTGCGATCGTTCACCAACACGCTCCATTCCTTCCTTTTTCTTCTGCGTCTGTCCTCCTTCTTGCTGCTGCCGCTGTGACTGCTGCCCCTGCGCATGATCTGGCGATAGCGATGACGGAAACGTGACAACCCAGAACGAAAGTCTTGGCGTTTTCTTTCTTTTTTCCCCGCGATCGCTGCTTTTTCCCCCCTTCTTCTTCTTCCTGTCCCTTCCACCTCTCCTGCCCCTCCTTGGTTGCGATCCGAGTTCAACTCTGCGATCGCTTTGATTCTCGCGTTTGACTCAACACCAATCCGCGCGCTGTGCAAAAACGCGACTCGTTGTCGTCTGTTCGATTCGTATTCCAGAAGGTTCGAATTGAAAAAAAAAAAGAAAAAAACAAAAAAGAAGGGCCACATGGAAAAAGTTCACAGTGTCGACGCTCAACGTTGCGACAGCCTAATGCGATTCTCCATCCATCCCCTCAAATCCAGCCTCACACAGATAATCCACTTGCTTTGGCTGCTCGAGTTTCTATCCTACAAATCACTCACTCGTCTTTTGTGACTTTGATGTCTTGGCTCGCTTGACAGATTTTTTAGTATTTCAAACAAAAGCACCTCACAAAAAATAATGCTGAAGGCTATGTCTGTTGCGCGCCTGGCTTCGTCCGGCATGACCATGCGTCAATCCGCTGCCAAGGTACGTGCTGTTTTGCTGCTTGTCGTTGGTGTGTTGCGTTCGTTGCTCGACTCGAAGCCCAAACACTCAACTCGTGGTACTTTTTTTTTTTCCCTTTTTCTCTGTTCTTTTTTTTTTTCTTCGTTTGTTTGTTTCTTGTTTCTGCAGCCCATCGCTGCCGCCCTGTCGCGCTCGTACTCTAGCGCCGTCAAGGGCCAGGTCATCGGCATTGATCTCGGCACCACTAACTCGTGCGTCGCCGTCATGGAGGGCAAGACCCCCAAGGTTATTGAGAACGCCGAGGGTGCTCGCACCACTCCTTCGGTGGTTGCCTTCACTGAGGAGGGCGAGCGCCTTGTTGGCACCCCCGCCCGCCGCCAGGCCGTCACCAACCCGCACAACACATTCACCGCCACCAAGCGCCTGATTGGTCGCCAGTTTGACGACTCTGAGGTCCAGCGCGAGCGCAAGCTTGTCGCCTACGAGATTGTCAAGCACACCAACGGCGATGCCTGGGTCAAGAGCCGCGACAAGACCTACTCGCCCTCGCAGATTGGCGCCTTTGTCCTGACCAAGATGAAGGAGACTGCCGAGAGCTACCTCAACACCAAGGTGCACAACGCTGTCGTCACCGTCCCCGCCTACTTTAACGACTCTCAACGCCAGGCCACCAAGGATGCCGGCCAGATTTCCGGCCTGAACGTCCTCCGTGTCATTAACGAGCCGACCGCCGCTGCTCTTGCCTACGGCATGGACCGCTCGGACGACAAGATTATCGCCGTCTACGATCTCGGCGGTGGCACGTTCGACGTTTCCATCCTCGAAATCCAAAAGGGCGTCTTTGAGGTCAAGGCCACCAACGGCGACACCTTCCTCGGCGGCGAGGATTTCGACAACCACCTCGTCCAGTTCCTCCTCGAGGAGTTCAAGAAGCAGCACGGCATGGACCTGTCCAAGGACACTGTTGCCCTCCAGCGCCTGCGCGAGGCTGCCGAGAAGGCCAAGATTGAGCTCTCGTCCACCAACCAGACCGAGGTCAACCTCCCCTACATTACTGCCGACGCCAAGGGCCCCAAGCACTTTGTGCACAAGCTCACCCGCGCCAAGTTCGAGTCGATTGTTGGCAGCCTCGTCCAGAAGACCATCGACCCCTGCCGCAAGTGCTTGAAGGATGCCGGCCTCGAAAAGTCCCAGATTGGCGAGGTTTTGCTCGTCGGTGGCATGACTCGCATGCCCAAGGTTGTTGACACTGTCCGCGAGCTCTTTGGCCGCGAGCCCTCCAAGGGTGTCAACCCTGACGAGGCTGTCGCTGTCGGCGCTGCCATCCAGGGCGGTGTCCTCGCTGGCGATGTCACTGACGTGCTCCTGCTCGACGTCACCCCGCTTTCCCTCGGCATTGAGACCTTTGGCGGTGTTTTCAGCCGTCTGATCAACCGCAACACGACCATCCCCACCAAGAAGAGCTCCACCTTCTCGACCGCTGCCGACATGCAGACCTCTGTCGAGATTAAGGTTCTCCAGGGTGAGCGTGACATGGCTGCCGACAACCAGGCCCTCGGCTCGTTCCGCCTTGTTGGCATCCCCCCGGCACCCCGCGGTGTTCCCCAGATCGAGGTCACCTTCGACATTGACGCCAACGGCATTGTCAACGTCTCTGCCCGCGACCAAAAGTCCGGCAAGGAGCAACAGATTGTCATCCAGTCGTCTGGCGGCCTGACCAAGGACCAGATTGAGAAGATGATTCGCGACGCCGAGGTCAACGCTGCCGAGGATCGCCGCCGCCGTGAGGACATTGAGGCCCGCAACCAGGCCGAGACCTTCCTCCACGACACTGAGAAGAGCATTGCCGAGTACGGCGAGCAGATTGGCAAGGAGGACATGGAGAAGGCCAAGGTCGACCTCAACAAGCTCCGCGACGGCATTGAGAAGAAGGCCCCCGCCGACGAGATCAAGAAGCTCCTTGGCGCTGCCCAGCAGACCAGCCTCAAGATCTTCGAGGCCGTCTACCAAAAAAAGCCTAACGCCTCCAGCAGCAGCGACAGCAAGGACAAGACTGTCGATGCCGAGTTCAAGAAGGACAACTAATTGACAATTGGTTTGGAAAGAGGTTGTTTTTTTTCTTTTTATGCAAAAACACGTTGAAACACAAAAAAATACAAAAAGTAATAGTTAGATGAGCACGACGTTCAGTTCTACTGTTCTCAGCTAATTAAAATACAGCGAATGAATTCAGGATTGGAAGGCGATGATGAATATTTGAATGGGATTCGGGAGGCTGAACGATTCGTTTGGCGTTCCCTCAAGAAGAGAAACCGCATCTAGCGTTTGAATGACCTGCAGATTCCACTTTCGGCACAAAGCGACGACATCTCGCGCGTCGCTGCCAGAGCGAGAGAGCGAGAGAGCGAGAGAGAGAGAAAGAGAGACAGCATGCGGCATTTGAGAAACAGAACGGATGGATGTCTCGCCTCTCGAGCGCTTTCACAAAATACTCACTCACCTGCGATTTTCGTACGCACACCACAGCTGGGCATGAGGGTAAGACTCCAGGATAGCGGAGGCGGAGCAAAGAAAGTCATCGAATACTGTTCAACAACAAGCGAGAGAACAAAACCAAAGGCGACGATTTAGCAAAGCACCATGGCAAGGAAGCTGATGCTGCTGCTTGCATCTTTTTTTTTTTTGGGGGGGGGGGCAACACCATGAAACTCACAGACGGGATCATACAGACAGTCCGAGGCAAGCAGTACATCGGGTGGTGTTGTCGCGCGCGACAACCAGGGTGGAAAGGACGCCCATTCCAACTCTGCAAATGTCACACAGGGCCTGTGCGTGTTTGGCGCAATTGTCAAGGTCTCCTGATCAGACAGGTGTTGGAGCGTGATTCGATTTGCAGCGCAAGTTCGCTCCAGAGTTGCCACGACGGCAGGCGCAATGTTTCGACGATCGGTGAGGAGTACGCGCGCTCCAAGCAGAGCGGCTAGTATGCTTGGAAGACCAGTACCACATCCTAGCTGAGGAAGAGAAGTTCAAGTTGCGTTGAAGCAGGTGGGGAAGCGAAAATCAGTGAACGGAGGTTTGTTAGCAATGACACTTGCGCAACTACTGCCCGATCGCATTGTTCAACCATCGCAAATTGCACCAAACAGTGCAGTTCACACGAGACTGACGGGAGGGAATGCTTTTCATACCTCCCAGAAGACGGGTGGATTGGTGGATTGCTCTGATCGGAGATTGTTGAAGCTTCTTGTCCAGCTTGTTTGCCAGATATACTGTGCTAGCACAACTGCCGAGGGCCATGTATACAGTGCGCAGTCTGCCTATGAAGGTGGAGTGGAGCGAGCGAATCACCATGAGCGAGTGAGTGAGCGTTTGGGCAAATGGGGCAACAGCGTTGACGGCACGTCCAAACTGCACGCGCGATCCCGTGCGTTGCGTGCAGACTACTCCATACATTGATGTCTAGACTGCCATTTCCATACTCTTGCTCTGCGATCGTCACTGCGGGGCAGGTCTTGTCTGAGTGCTCCGTTTGCTCATGCGTGGTGTTGACAAAGTGGAAGAGTCGCATCAAGCGGCCAGTCGTGCAAAGCCCCTGGTCTATTTGGTCTATTGGGAGTGGGTGTTCAACACAAGTGATGTGCAGGAATTGAGCTGGCTGATGCTTGCAACCGCGCGTATTTGCTCTGAGCAGAAGCAAGTTCAAGTTCAATCCAAACAAACAAACAAAAAAACTGAGACTGCGTTTCAATTGTACGAGGTCGATGAATGAAATCGAGAGCGCGATTCATCTCTGCTGCTGCTGCTGCTTGTCATGGATTTTGCCTTTGTTGGTGACTGAGTGCAAGTGAGCGAGTGGAGCGACTATGCTGCACTTTCACCCGTTTTCACCCCCCACTCCTTCTCCGATTGTTGCACGTCCAGGTTGTAATACTGTACTATGATCATCATCATCACCATCATCATCACCATCATCATCACACCTTTCTTTTGGTTTCCCTTTTGCTTCACTGTTGCTTCACTGCAGTCCTAATTTCCCACCTGACAATCCCATTCAATGGCTGTGCGTTTGATTGACTTGAGCTTCGTCCTCTTCCTCTTCCGGCAGTCTGCTGCTTGTGATCATTCCATCTGCATCTCCAACCCCCCCCCCCTTGCCTTGCCCTGCTTCCACCACCCTTCGACCAGCTTTAGCTCGGCTCAAAGCTGATCGAACAACGCTCGTCTTTTTTTTTTTTTTCTTTTTTTTTTTTCTCTTTTGTTTTCCTGCTTTTCTTCAAACTTGACCCATCATCCACTCAGAGCTGGGGCTGCAGCATCACGACGCTGTTGCAACAACGCCGTCGAACCAACCTCGCGCATCTTGTTGCGTTGCAGCCGATGCGATGCGCTACAACAACACAGCGGTATCGATCGAACCTTCCTTAGAATAAAAAAAAAAAATAAAACAAAAAAAAGGGATCGACATTTTTTTTTTTTTTCGATTGTTGTTTGGTGGTCGTTGATCGAACAAGCACGGTTTTTGTCGCTTGTGCTTGCTCGATGCTGCTGCATTGATGTATTGTTTGAAGACATGAACGAGCCACGGCAGATCTTGAATGAACCGCAGACGAGAAAGAACGAGCAAAAGCAACATGAAACATAAAAAGTCGTAATCAATGGAAAAATCAATGGAAAAAACAAACACTGAAATAAAAAAAAAAAAAAAAAAAAAAGAACCAAAAAGCCATTTGTTCATAGAGCTGATGATTGGGCGTCATGGATGGCAGCGTGCAACTCAATCTGAGTGACATACGCTTGTGAGCGGCAGTGTCGAGATCCAGTTCGAATCAGAGCGACTTTTGCCAAGGGCTGTGTGTGTTTCGCACAAATCTGAGACGTGTGTTCATTCACTCTTGACCTTGACCTTGACCTTGACCTTGACAGGACGAAGATTACTCTCCCGCTACTACCCCCTCTGGCTCGCCGCTGGCTGGCCTCGAAATCTCCATTGCCGATGCTGAGAAGCGCAAGAAGTCTGGCGAAATTCTCTCGGACCCCTTCATTGCCTACAACATCATCTCTAAGGTTGGTGTGTGTGTGTGTGTGTGTGTGTGTGTGTGTGTTTTTTTTTTTGGTGCTGGTGATTGGTTTTTGGGTGCTGGTGCTGGTGGTGTGCTGGTGATCGATTCGCGTGTGCTCATCTCGCCGATTCTCCAACCATGGCCAATGTCTGCAGTCCAAGCAGAACGTGCCCGGGTTTGGAAGCTCCGAGTACTACGTGTGGCGCCGCTACTCTGAGTTTGAGCTCCTTCGCAACTACCTGTACATGCAGTACCCCACCGTTGTTCTTCCTCCCATGCCTCCCAAGCGCGGCAACGCCGGCTGGACCAAGATTGTCGACCAGTGATGCAGTACCCCACCGTTGTTCTTCCTCCCATGCCTCCCAAGCGCGGCAACGCCGGCTGGACCAAGATTGTCGACCAGTGAGTGGTTTTTATTTTTGTTTCTTTGTTCGAGAATCTTTTGACCGTCAAACGATTGCTCACTTGAGGGCTTACTCTTTTGTCGTCTTCCTCTCAGCTTTGACCCCGAGTTTATCGAAGTTCGCCGTGTTGCCCTTCAAAGCTTCCTTCGTCGCGCTGCCCAGCACCCCCAGCTTGCTGCTGACGAGACCTTCCACGCCTTCCTCCAACAGGAAGCTTGGGTAGGGTTGTTTTGCCTGCTCTGTTGAATGAGTTGCAGCTGTTTTACTCTGAGCACCCGCTGACCTTGTATTTGTCCTTTTTCCCCCAACCCTGTGGTTTGACAAACTTGACAGAGCACGTCGAGCGCCCAGCTGGCCGACCGCGTCGAGGAGAAGATGAAGCAGCTGAGCGCCTCGCTCAAGCTCAAGACCCAGGACAACCGATTCTTGGATGTCAAGAACTACGCCGACAACCTCAACGCCAACCTCTCCGCCCTTGTCAAGGTGCAGGAGCGCCTGTCCAAGAACATGGCCGACATGTACGAATCGTACGGCCAAACCGGCCCCGTCTTCAGCGACTGGGCTGTCATTGAGAAGGACATTGGTGACGTTCTGCAATCGACCGGCCACTTTATGGACAGCCTGGCCCCCTCTGTGAACGAAAAGCTTCACGCCGAGGAGGATCAGTTCACTGCCGTTCTTCGCGAATACACGCTCTTTGGCGATTCGCTCCGCGTAAGCCGTTTTTTGCGAATCGTTCGGAATTTTTTTTTTTTTTTGTTCTTCCAATCGCTGTTTTGTTTTTTTTTGACTCATTTTTGCACCCTGCCTTTTCCTCTTTCATAGACGCTCGTCAAGCGCCAAGAGCAAAAGCAGTACGACCTTGAAAAGGCGGAGGACTCTCTGGCCTCGAAGGTGTCTTCGCTCGAGCAGTTGCAAGGCGTCACTGCCACTGGCGAGCCTGCCCCTGCTGGCGGCAAGTTCTCGTTCAAGAAGATTTCCTCAAAGATGTTTGGCCCCGACACCCCCGAGGTTCGCGAGGAGAAGATCCGAGCGCTCGAGCAGCAAATCGAAGAGGTAGAAAGTTTTGAGCAATACGCGCGAATAAGTATTATCCAACTGTCACTCACTCCCCCCTCTTCCTTCGACACCCGAATTGTCATCTTCAGGGCAAGGGTCAAGTCCAAATCGCTCAGCAGGAGCTCAGCACTTTCTGCGAAGACGCTCTTCGCGACGTCGAGCGCTTCCATAAGACCAAGGTCGCCGATTTCAAGCGCGTGCTTGTGCAGTACGCCAAGACTCAAATCAGCTTCTACAAGAAGGGTCTGCAGTCGTGGGAAAACATGCGAACGGTCGTCAACGGCATGTAAACAAAGCGCCACCTTCCCGCGCGCGTAGATTCATGTGTTGATGTATTACTTTTTTTTTGCTTCTTGTGTAGTTGCCTGACGAGTACTGTCCCTCACTCCTCCCAAGTGGGACTGTGCGCGTGTGGTTGGATTCGGTGGGGTGGTGGAATTTGTTGATTTTTGTCTTGTTTTCGTGCCGCAGCCATTTGCATTGTTTTCAAATTACACAAATTTTGTTTGATAATAGACAGAGTGTTTCGTCAACCACCCAGATGTTGCTCACAGACAAACGGACATTGAAAACTACACTACAGAACTCGTCATTTGCTGCCCTTTTCATTGGTTGTTGCATCCGACTCATTGCAACTCTGTTTCTTTGGAAAATGTCTTCCTTATCCTGCAGAGCTTCTTGCTGGGCATGTCGCATGGCGTTTGTTTGCAACATGCGTGGGCGTGTTTCGTTTATCGTGACAATGTGCCAACAGTAAATCTTGATCGGTTCAACCCTCGCGTCTGAGTAGCTTGTGCAACGCGGTTGGGCTTTTGTCGCTCCTTACGACAGTGTCTGTCCCACTCTCTGCCATGACAGCATGCTTATCAATTGTAGTCACAAGCAACATGTCTTTTGTGGTGTACAGGTGAGCAATGCCTCAGCGTTCCGCTGTAAATCACGCTGCAGTTTACCTCAGGTCTTGACTTCAATTTCCAAGCCACTAAGACACGACACGAGTTTATTTTTTTTTTTGGGTTTTTGAGTGGTAGGGCTTGACAAACAACACACGCGAGGCACAAGCAATGCGATAGGGCTGCAACAGGGAGGAGGAACTGCATCAACTGCATCAACTGCATCAACATCAACAACAATAACATCATCATCAACATCGACATCAACAACAACAACAACAACAACAACAACAACAACAACAACAACAACAACAACAACAACAACAACAACAACAACAACAACAACAACAACAACAACAACAACAACAACAACTGAATCGCCATCCATCGAGGCACAGGCAACGATCGGCCGCGGGCAAAAGAGACGTTCAGTTGGTGCACGAAGGCAAAGAGCGGTACAGAGCGAGCAAGACAGGCAACAGGAAGCACAAAGTGGTCTCAACTACTCCATGGAAGAGCCATCATCGACCACAGTCGACTCCAGACGCACACGCTTGGCAAGCTGGCGAGGAGCGTCGTCGTCGAACTCCTCTTCATGCTCGCTCGAGGTCACTGAGTTCGACGTGCTCGCTTCCAATGCAGCATGTGTGCGACGACGTTGAGTCAAAGCAGCAGCAGGAGCAGCAGCAGCAGCAGCAGCAGCAGCAGCAGCAGCAGCAGCAGCAGCAGGAGCAAAGACCGACAGGGCGGCAGGAGCATTTTGCTGTTCAGTAGGAGCGTCAACCACAACGTCAGGCAGAACGACAGGAGCCTCGACAGGAGCATTGCCAGGAACCTCGACAGGGGTCTCGACAGGAGCAGACTCAGCGGAGGTCGAGGAAGCTTCAAATAAACAAGCGGCCCAAGCGGGTATCTCGCGCTTGAACTCACTCTCAGGGAAGATGGCAAACGACAGCTCTGGGACAGACTCCGTCCTCGCGTCCCCAAACACATTGTTCTTGAACTCTTCACGGAGCACGTTCTTGATCTTTTCATCGTAGTGGTCTTGGGGCACGAGGTGTCCAGACGTCGTCGTCGTCGTCGTCGTCGTCGTCGTCGTCGTGAAGAAGAGCCCCTGAATCCGGATTGGGATCTGTGTCTCCTTCTGCCGCAGCATCAGCTGGAAGAGCGCAACGAACAGTGCCGAGCGAATCAGCAGCTGTCTCTGAGCAGCCTCGACTGACTTTGTAGTGCGCTTGATCTCCACCAGTTGCACCCCAACACGAGGCTGCACAGGGTCAAGTGCAAGTGGTGCCATGGCATCGCACTCCACTTCGCCCAAATGCAAATTGAGCGTCGGCTTCAAGCGAGTGTAGATGTTGACGGCAACCAGGAGACCGAGCTTGCCGCAGAGCATGTCGTGAAGCTTGGGAGCGGCGGAAAGGCAGAGTTGGTAGCCTTGTTGCACATGTCCTGGAACTCTGTTGCAGCATCGTGAAGCAGCTTTCCAAAAACGGCGGCCTGGCTGTCGCAATTGTCAAAGTCAAGCCAAATGGTGCGCATCTTTGCCTCGAGGGGTTGATCCACGACGGCAGGGTTGCCCAGGACGGCAGGTTTGTCCCCGCGGGCAGGTTTACCCACGAGGTTTGGGAACGGCGTGCCAGCGACTACGACAGTGCTCTTGATGTAGGCCCACTCTGTATCAGAACGAGAGCGTCCTTTTCTCTCCGAATCCTGGAACATCACGTTCGCATTGGTCTCGGCATTCTCGAACAGAGCTGCAAGTGCCTCTTGATTCTTTGCAGGCAACTGCTCGACCACTGAGTTGACTTCGTACATGAAACGCAGAAAGTCGCCAGAGTCCTGTCACAGGTTCAATAGTGAAGAACACGCAAGCAACGGTAAGCCGCACTGTGCGGACAACGATCGCCCTCACAACTTTCAACGTGTTGTGTTGACTTACGTAGAGCCGCTTGGCGATCTTGCGGGTGTGGCTCTGGACGTCCTTGAGCTCAAACAGGCTTGCACTCTGGGCATTCTGGTGAAACCAGCGATCAAAAGACGAAGGAATGACGATGAGTTGCCAAGAACGCACAAACACCAACTACAGCAGGCTATTCCTGGTAGTCTTACCGTTTTCAGAAGTGCGACACCGGCTTTGAGCGCCTTCTCGAGTGAAGCGAACTTCATGTTGTACACGAGCTGCGAGTTCCGCGTCAGCACCTCAAAGTGGGCTTCAGTCATCGCACCCTGCAGTATCTGCACATCTTTTACGTCTTTCTGCACGTCTTTGATTTGCGCTGTAAGGCGTTCCTCCATGGCGTCCACTTTCTGTGAAGAGCGATTCTCCATGTCGTCCACTTTCTGTGAAAAGCGATTCTCCATGTTGCCCATTTCCTCCCGCAATTGACCAATCGCTTCCAGAATCCTGTATGATGCGTAGACAGAACAGAGTTTGTGACACATTCGAAGCATTTTGTGCGATTAGTCGCTTGTTCTCAAACACTCATCACCAACCAACTGCCGCTTGCCAACGAAATAACGAAATGACGGATAAACCAAAACTTCCAACCTCGTCCCGTCCTCTCCCTCTGCCCCTCCTTCCCCTCCCCCCAAAAAAAAACCAAAAAAGGAACAAAAAACAAAATCAAAATCAAAATGGTCAACAGAGCAACGGGATTACTGGAAGGAAAGCAGAAAACAAACAACAAGGAAAAAAAAAAAAAAAGTAAAACAAAAAAAAAAAAAAAACAATCAAGAAAACAAAGGCGAAGCCCAAGAGCGCATCGCACAACCCTTGCGCCATAGCGACACCCAACAACATCAATCAGCAACACGCCATTCTGTCATGGACAGACAGAGAAGATCGTACATCCACGCATCTCACCACTGCATCATTGGGGTTTCATCCCATTTCCAGCATCTCTTTTCGCCATCCCCTCCTGCCGACTGTCGATTCCAACGGCGAGCAAGAACCATTAACAAGCGCAACGCAATGCCAATGACACTTGATCAACGCATTGGAGTCTCGTCTCGACGTCTCCCAGGAGGCGTGGGTTGAGAAAAAAAAACCGCGAAAAGATATGGCGGGAAATGAGTTGCAGATGAACGCGCGTTTTTGAAACAAGCGTTTTGAAACAAAGGACAGATTCACTGCCAGCATCACACTGCCCGCATCGCACTGCGGACATCCCTCCAAGATAGATCATAGTGCATTTAGTCAGCAGCGTTTGTCGGTTTGGGCGATGGGGGGAGGGGAAGCGGTGGACTGCTGCTCCCGAGGGACGGAGGGAGACACCGCGCTTCATTTTTTTTTTCGCGCCTTCAACCAAAGCCGCCAACGAACTCACGGGTTTGCAGGGGCCACAAGCTCCTCAGGTGTGGTTGCAGTGGTCATGCGAGTGTGGCCACGAGCGCCGCCACGAGCGGCGCCACCACGTCCCGAAGAATTGCTCATGATCGCGAAAAACACCAGAGAACGAGAGACGAAAAAAGTGAAAAGGCAATTGTCAAAAAAAGAGCGACTGCTCTCCAACTTAACACCCAAAGCGGCGAGATAGGGATTGACAAGAATCGATGAAAGCGTTTTCAATTCGAGTTGAGGTGCGTTATGGGGTGGCCAAATAATGCGAGGAACTTGCAGTTGTGTGTACGACTCGAGTTCGTCGTCGCAGCCAGTCCACTGGTCCTCGTCGTCATCTTCAGTGCATTAACAGTAGCGGCGTCGTCGTGACAGGCAAGCTTGACGTCTTGACAGGCAAGCTCGAACGACGAATCGAGACTGCTGCTGCTGTCCTTCGAGTCGGCATTCGTCGTCGGCTCTGACGAAGAGCTGGAGAATGTGTCATCCAACTGTGTCAAGTTCATGTAAGATTTTCATTGTAGAACGGTTCTCTGCAAGATAACATGATGACAGCGATGGGTTCAAGTTTTGCTTTACCGAGTGGGCCATCCAGGGCATGTCGAGAGGCAGAGGCTTCACTGCGTCCTCAGCCAGATGATGGAACCGCGTGTCCGGATGGTGTGTCATCTGCTCAGAAGCAGGGAGAGGCGATAGGATGGTGGTCATTCGAGCTGTCGACGGGCAATGGATGGAAAACGGTGAAAAGGCAGCTTTTCTGGCGCCAACCAGCAGCGGAGAACCCAAAGATGATCAAATACAAAAAAGACTGACTCTAACTTTCAAAATGTCAGTTGCTTTGTTTGGACGCGAGGTGCTGAATCTGCAGTCAGTTGCAACCGAGTTCGAACTCTGTGGTCAAGACTTCAAACCCATTTTTGGATTCATTGTCCCATTTGCAATTTCATTCCATATTGTGAAGCTACTTGTACTCGCTTTTACGATTTTGTATGCTTTCAGGTGAAACAGAGAGTTTGTGCAACACTAGCGCGTCAGAAGCAAAGGCCTCCGTCAAACTCTGACCGCAAAACCCATGAGCCAAGCGGGTCATCAAGTAGTCTGTATGATGACCAGGGCGCTTGCACCAGGTTTTCACTGCACAATTCGAGTATAAAAAAGTGTGCTATGGATTACAACGGAATTTACACGTAACTGCGGACGCGCGAGAAAATAAACTCGTTCATGGAACTCAGATCAAAGTCGTTCACGGTGGACGTGGCGTCCGACATGTGCATGATGCTACTGTAGCGTAGCCAGGTCAGGCGGGAGTTGCGTCGGGAGGCCGATGATTTCACTTGCAATTCCATGTAAAAGATGCTTTCGAGTGAAGAGGGAACGACTGGCTCGACATGCGGTGGCCGACGAGAGCTCACTCCGCGTGTGTTGGCTTGAGCGCTAGAGGTCGCGCGATTTGGTCGGCGGCTTTCCATCTTCTTGACTTTGATGACGACAATATCGCCGTGAAGTCGATACTTGCCCAGGTAACCCGTCTCTTCGGCGCCTGTCTGTCGCGGTGGGTTTTTGAGCCGAGGGACGACCAAGGTTGGATCGTCTGGGGTGATGAGCGAGATGACTGTTCCGTCGGCAAAAAACCGCAAGTATCGATAGTATTCGACGCGATGGAAGGGCTGGAAAAAGTTGTCGAGGCTCTTCTCGCCAGCGCGAACATACCACAGTCGGGCAATGTACAATCCATCCACGCGCACGCGCGGGCGTTGGATGTACACGGATCGCCATGGGAGCAGGGTGACTGCACTGCCATCTGCATGTTGTGCCACTCGTTGTGTATACAAGGCAAGCAGTCGTCGATGCTCCGCTTCCAGCTCCCGCCACCGATGCTGACTTGACATCAACGAGTGAACTGAGACGGAGGCGTGGGACAGGGCGCTCCCGGCTAGCGGAGTCGGCTCCCAACTATCCAGGTGGATTTGGCTGAGATTGGTGGGCATGGTGGCGTGCTGAGTTTCGGGGTGTTGACGATGCAATCCGCAACACGGTTGCATCGTGCACTCCCCACGTGCAGAAACACGCCACCCGCCACAGCGATTCGTCTCGTGCAAGAATGTGCAGCTGCAAGAGAGAGAGAGAGAGAGAGAGAGAGAGAGAGAGAGAGAGAGAGAGAGAGAGAGAGACAGAGAGACAGAGAGAGAGAGAGAGAGAGAGAGAGAGAGAGAGATTACAAGAAGCGGCTGATCAGCAATAGGCCGAGCACAACTTTCACAGACAACCAACCAAAAGGACGCCCCTACCTGTTTGCACACGCGCGAAATGGCCTCGAGTGAGCGCAAGTCCAGCTCGGATCCAATGACAAAGAGCAGAATTTGCAGCAAGATCTCGATGGGCAGATCGGAGATGTGGGCTGTTGTGCGCAGCGTGGACTCGCGCATTGGCAAAATGGGCCACAAGTCGTAGCCGGCAGCGTGCGCATCAGCCTTGAGCTGGAAGACCAAGTCTCCGTCATTGCGTTGGACAATTGTAGTGGGAATGGTAGCAGCAGCAGCAGCAGCAGCAGCAGCGTCGCCTGGCGCGGGTCCTTTTCTCTTGTGCAAGCTTGCGGTATTGGAAGAGCGGGATGCTGCGTCGTAATCCGACAAAACATCTTCTTGTGCTTTGCCTCCTTCGTCCTCATCGTACCAAGTCTACGCCCACAAGCCATTTGGCAAATGAATTGCATGTGTTGTGTGTGTGTGTGTGTGTGTGTGTGTGTGTGTGTGTGTGTGTGTGTGTGTGTGTGTGTGTGTGTGTGTGTGTGAGCGTGAGAGGGCAATACATCCCAAAGAACGCGGGAAAAGAGGAATTCAACAAACAACAACCTTGTCATGCTCACCATGTCTTCGTTTTCAGGAAAGACCATGCCTGCGTCGACAATAATCCGGTCAATGTCGGGTACCAGTTGAAATGCCTCACGGTACAACTCCATGGCGGCGAGGGCTTGTCCGGTCGATTCGAGGTAAGCGGCAGACTGGTGCAGTTTGAATGCGCGCTTGAACGTGTCGTCGCTCTGCAAGTTTCGCAGCGATGGCGGAAGTGCGAGGTGGGTTGGAGGTCCTGCAAGTGAATCCGATGTCGCTGTGTTTGTCGCGCGCGAGGTCTAGGATTCGGTAACAAACACGGAATGAGCAAGTGGGGGGGGGGGCGGGCAGGGTTCGATTCACACGTTGTCGCGTTGTCACCCGACCCACACCCACAGATAGCACAATAGAATAAAGACTGAGGTTGCCAAAAATGCGTCGTCTCGTTTTGAATGAGCGAAACATTGACAATTGCGCAACGTGAGGTGCTTGTTTCAACACCAAATTCGGATTCAATAGATTGGTTCTCACCGATGCGCCGGCAGAATGAGAATAATTGGAACTGGTTCTGCCAGATGCACTGCTCGCGTCACTTGTCACGGCAGCGCTGGTCGCAGGGTTGGTCGATGCCGAGGCGGATCGGGCAGCGAGCTCGCTCTGCCACTCGTGGCGGAAGGACGCCAAGTCCAAGTCCCCTGCCGCCGCCACCGCCGCGTCGCCATCCTCGTGGCTCAGCACGACAATCGAGTCCATGGCCGCGGCTGATGGCACGGCAGTTGGCGTCGTTGTGTTGAGGTCGAGTTGTTCGAGCTCGAGCTCGAGTTCCACATTGTCGGTGTCGTCCGATGCGTCCGCCTGTCCCGTGGATTGAGACCGCAAGAGACCGAGGGAAGGAGTTGTAACAAGGGGTTTGAGTTCAAGAGATGAGTTGTTGGTTTCAAACCCCAGGGTCAAAGCAATCGTCCTTCATCGACAACAAACACACATCGCTCGGTACGACCGCCTCGGCTGCAGCGGATGATCGCGACATTGACTGAGCAAGCACATGCATCATAGGCGAGCGAGCGATAGCAATATACATGTATTGAAGACAAGCACAACCTATCATTGAAGCACTGCAAATCAGACCACCATCAATTCGGACAGACCGACTGTCATTTTCGCCGTTTTGGTTTGAGATCTGAGCGCCTTTGGCATGAGAATTTCGAGCCAGCCGACGTGCACCGTTTGACTGATCACACAAGCTTCCAGCAAATCCAAGAATCCTCTTTTGATTGGGGAAGGAGGAGAGGGGTTGGTTGTCAAGATTAGTTTGAAATCTGAGGAGCTTGGCTGCCGTGTATCCTGATTCTCCAGGCTTCCGCGCTGTTTTCGTTTTTGTTTTTTATTTTTTGGGCACATTCTGAGCAGATTTGTTTCAAGCCCCCACTTTCACTCCCCATACAGCATTTTTTCCACAGCAAATGCGCGTCATTGAGGCCGTCGCCTTTGTTGCGCTCGGTGCGATTTGGGGCTCTTCGTTCCTCTTCATCAAGTGGTCTGCGACCTACTTTCCCCCGGTCAGCCAACAAATTCATCCCATTCATCCACCACCCCTCCTTTTCCTTCGCCGACGCTCAAAGTTGGTTGTATGGAGCCATGATGAATATTGGAGCGGCCATGCGATGCTTCTTTTGATTTTTTTTTTTTTTTTTTTCCATTTTGGCTCAGCCACAGCCAAAAAAAACCGCTGCCTTCTCAGTTCCTTCTCCCTCTACTTACTGAGACTGCGCCTGAGACTGAGACTGAGACTGAGACTGAGACTGAGACTGAGACTGAGACTGACAGTCGGAGTTGCGCAGAGCGTCCGATTCGTGACCTTCCCCTTTCAAAGAACGAGTCGTGACTCGCTTTTGTATTTTATTTATTTTTTATTTATTATCATTATTCCGATTGAATCCATGCATCCATCATATGACTGCCTTATTTTCGTTATAATCTGATTGTCTTACCATTTCATCACTAGTGTCGTTCTCGTTTTACTACCATTTTGCTACCGTCGTTTCTTTACTCTTTTCCTCACTAATTTTTATCCCCCTCTTTCTTCTTCTCCTCCTTCTCCTCCATCTCGCCGCCCATCCATTCGCGACTCTCGACTTGACGCATCTCGCGCTGCCCATCTCGCGTCAACAAAAAGCGCTGCCAGCCATCCGACAGCCCTCAACCCTCAGCCCTCTCGTCCAATCAAATCCCACCTCGTCTCATGTGGTGCTCATGGCTATGGCTCCATCATTCGACTCACTTGCTTGTACCTTGCCTCTTGACTTTTGCTTGCTGGGTTTTGGGTTTTGACAGCTGACGCTTGTGGGCATGCGACTGCTCCTCGCGGCCATCATCATGTTCGCCTTCAACGGCATCCTTGCGGTCGTCCGGCCATCACACCGCGACATCCTCAAGAGCCACTTCCGACGTGACTTTATTCTCAAGGTAATAGTCGTGCTCATTGAGCTCAATTCAGCTCAATTCAGCTCCTGCACAATGCAAGAAAGTGGTAACATGCTGTTCATCATTGACAAACTCACCTCCCCCCCTCCATCCTCTCTCTCTCTCCCCCCCTTACCTATACAGGCGCTGATGATGGGCTTCCTCAATAACACCATCCCGTTCACTCTGGTCGCTTGGGCCGAAACAAAGTCGGCAGTCAACGTCGGCATCACATCCGTGCTCGACTCGGCCATTCCGCTGTTTGGCCAGCTCTTTGGTCACTTCTTGCTGGTAAGCCCTTCTGCGAGACAAAAGTAGGACGAGAGAGCGAGAGTAGGAGGAGAACCCGGGGGGAGGGAGATTGGTGGTCACCACCGATGCGAATACTGAATCTTAACTCCGTCTCGTTTCTGCTGCTTCAATCCCCCCTCCCCTTACATCATCACGCAGCCGAATGAACGCATTACACTGAAGCGCGGCATCGGTCTCGTCGTTGGTTTTGCTGGTGTCATTGTCGTGTGCCTGGAGCGCATGATTGACTCTGGCGACGACGACTCCAACAGCGACACCTGCAACGCCTGTGTCTACGGTTACTATGCCATGATTATCGGCGCCACCGCCTCGTATGCCATTGCATCAGTGTGGGGCAAGCGCACGCTCCACGAGTTCAACCCCGTCGTGACGGCAACCGCCCAAATCACCTCTGGCATGCTCATCAATGTCATTCTTGCGCTTCTCTGGGAGTTCAACTGGCCTGTTGATGTAAGTCAGAGCAGAGCGCTTGCTTGACACACATCAGAGAATTGCTCCCCCCCCCCTCAGTCGACCTGTTGCTAACATGCCGACATTTGTTTGGTCATTTGGATCTCGCGCAGAACTTTGCCGGACAAACACACTTCTCTTTCCTTGACGATGCCGACTACAAGGCCTGGATTGGCATTGTGTATTTGGGCGTCGTGTCCACCTGCATTGCCTACTCGCTGTACTTTTACCTTCTCGCCACGATCGGTACGAGCAAACTCTTTCTTTTGTTCGCGTCTTTCACACTCGTTGTGCTCAAATTGCTGCTCTCGCTCGTTGCCCTATTTTTCTGCAGGATCTGTTCGTCAAACGATGGTCGGCTTCTTGCTGCCCATTTTCGGCGTCTTCGAAGGTGCTCTGTTCAACAGCGACTGGGCTGGCGTGAGCTGGGTCTACAAGGTTTTGGAAGTTGTCGGTTAGTGCTTTTTTTTTTGTCGAACGCCTGTTGCTCTTGCACAAAGTATTGTGATTGATTTGTGCACATCGTTTCCTAACTGCTTTTCCCCCTTGCATCATTGAAACAGGCACCCTGCTTATTGGTGCTGGTATCTACTTTGTCAACATGTCGGACAAGAAGAAGCCGCAGCCAGACGGCGAGTCGGACGACGAAAAGGTGGCGCTCATCAACGAGACCAGCAGCGATTACAAGTCGTACGCAAATGGCGGCGTTACACGGTTCCTCAACAACCAGGTCATCAACGGCGCACCAACCTCGCCGCACGATCCTCGAACAAGTATGCACAATGTGCAATCATACGCTTAGAATGAGTCCCCTGCCCATATGTCAGCTGTAGCGACTGCATGTTTCGAGTCGATAATCAATTTCGTTGTAAATGTAGATCTATGTCAAATTTTCCTTGTTTGTAGTCGCCAGAGGCGATGGTTTTTTTTTTGTTTGTTTGTTTCTTAGAATTCGCACAAACCAATTCCAAAACTGAAGGGGTTGGTCTGCTCTCGTATCGTTTCATTGACAAACCCAAACAAACAAACAAACAAACAAACAAACAAACAAAAAAAAAACTAGATCAAACTCTCGACTACTTTTGCTTCTTGGCCTTCTTGCTGGCCTCGCTCGAGTTGGAGGCAGCTGCGTCGGATTGCTTAGCCGCCTTGGGCTTGCCAGACAGCAGTGAGCTCAATCCGTGCTTGTGGGTGAGCATCAGAGCAATGAACTGGTAGATGGCAACACCTTGCACGGCCAGAATAGCACCAGCAAAGACCAATCTGCATTTTGGTTGAGCGATTGGGCGATCAGAGTGAGCAACGCGGCCAGTGCGACGACAACAGAGAAATTAACACAATCACGCCTTACCCCGCGAGACCAGCTCCTTGGGGCTCATCAACAGCAACAGTCTGAGCATCGGTGGCGCCTTCAGCCGAGGCGGGCTCGGGGACAGCGGCAACCGCGGTCGAGGACCAGAACACCTTGAAGAGCAGGGTGATGATGGCCTGGCGCACAAAGACAAAGACGACGGCCCAAGCTTGGAAGCTGCAATTGCCGAAATCAGGTTCAAATTGTCAAGCTGTGAGTGCGGCGGACTCGGGCATTCCTGGCTGGAACAAACCCACCAACACACGCTCACCTCTTGCGTGCCAGATCTTCCTTCTTGGCTTGTTCGAAAAGCTGGTAGAACGAGTACAAGAGCTCCGACACAGCTTGAGCGCCGAGGAGGCACACAGAGACGCGCGAGTAATGCAGGTAGTAAGCGGCAGCCACGAACGCAGCATTGATCAGAGAGTAGATGACGCGGGTGCGAATTTGCTCAGGGCGGGCCTCGACAATCCATTGCCAGGGAATGTTGTGGAGCCAAAATGCAATCTGTTCAACGGAAAACAAAAACAAAAAAATAAAAATAAATGAGAAATGTGTGCAGCAAAATGGCAAAGGAAGCTGGCAGGTCGTGCATCCAAGAACTTACAGAGGACAGCAACAACAACTTGGTCGACAGGCTGTAGAGGTGATGACAATCGGAGACAAGATCAGAAAAGCGGGTTTGGTCAACTCGAGGTGAAAAATTCAGGTCAAACCAATCGACGAAAACGTACTCCATGAGCAGGTGGGGGAAGCCAGCTGTGAGAGAGGCCGAGTTGGTAATGTACGAGTTCTACAATGAACATACCCCGTTCAACAAGTGAGACTCAAGGCGTGTCTGGTGCTGCTGGTTCAAAAATCACCCCTTTCAACGTACATCGCGGATGATGGACCACGACCAGAAAACAACAATGCCATAAAAGAAGATGCGGAATGCCGATTCAAACAGTTCGTGGGTGCGGATGGACGAGAACTTGAGGCGGAGAATGAACTTCTGTTGCGGTGACGAGCAAAATGCAGCAGAGCAGCAGAATGTCAGAGACAAAATCCGGCGGACAGACTAAAAAAAAAAAAAAAAAAAAAAAAAAAAAAAAAAAAAAAAAAAAAAAAAAAAAAAAAAAAAAAAAAACAGCCGGAAAGGAAAAACAATAACACTCGTACATCGAGAATGAACTCTTGGACGATTGCGCGGACGGACAGCCAGAAGCAAACCAGGAACAAGAGCAAGGCGAGATCGAGAGGGCCGGTGCCGTACTCGGTCACGTCAACGGTGACTGGTTGCAAAGCACAAAGCAAGCAAGCAAGCAAGGTCAGCCCAAAGTCAAAACAAGCAGCACAAACAAGCGAGGTTAAACGATTGAACTGTGGGGGCATGAAAACCATCTCGTTTGAATCCAGCCCTGTTGATCCCTCCGCTCCAGTCTCATCATTCTCGCACTCTCATCCACTCACCGTGACCAAGATCGCGCTTGACTGGGTGATCGTAGCTTGCAACCACGAACGGCGCGACGAAATCGGCCGTGTAGTTGTTCATGTACCCAATGACAGCGAGCAGGCAGAACGACATGTGCACATCGGCGTGGTTGTTCAGGTAGGCGTCTGCCAATGAGAACGGCGCCTTGGGTGCATCGGCGGCATCAGCACCACCAGCAGTGGAAGTAGCATTGGCAGCAGCAGCAGCGTTGGGAGCAGCAGCACCAGCTGATGCTGGACCAGCGCCGCTCAGCTGGTTCTTCCTACGCCAATCAATCGATGAGTGGAAACCAGTGAGTTTACCATGGTTGCTGGCTTCAAGTGCTGTGTGTGTGTGGGCGGTCGTTGGATTTCAACGATCACTGATCAACAGTGAGAGAGAGCGAGATTGAAGGCGAGATCGCTGGTCGAGCGCGGATGTTCTCTCCCAATGGCTGTGCCTGCAGATCCAGAACCGCATCTCAAATGAAAACAGTCAAGCATAGAAAGCGGCGGCACTTGCCTGTGAGCGAGGCGAGCGGCGATCGCGCGACTGACTGGCATTAGAGAACGAGTGAATTGGGAAGGAAGGAAAACAGAGACTGAGACTGAGACTGAGACGACTGAGACTCAAATTAAATAAAGTCGAAAAGCGGTAAATGTACATGGATAGACAATGCATTTGGACTTACTAAGCTTCGCTGAGAACTCGATTGGGCAAGGGAAACCTGCCAAAACCATTCAGAACGCTTCATACAGTGCAACGCCTATTCACTCGCTGATTTTAGTCATTTTCATTCATTGATTCATTCATAGTTTCTGTCATTCACTGCGAACATGTTGAGAGCACTTGGCTTGGCTCGCTCAGTTGCGCGTGCTGCCGCTGGCTCTGCATTGCCATCATCGTCCTCAGCCTCAGCCTCAGCCTCAGCCCCAGGCTCAGCCTCATCAGCCTCAGCAATCGCTGCTGCACTCTACTCACAACCCTACACCCATGCTGGTAGGTCGTGCGCTTGACCATGGCTGTTCAAGTCGTCGCGACTGACTGACTGACTCTCTCTCTTGGCTCTCTATCGACTTGCTTTCAACAACAGGCGCGTGGCTCGCGCAGCCCAGGCGGACCATGTTCATCCAGACGCAAGACACGCCCAACCCAAACAGCCTCAAGTTCATGCCGGGCGTCACGGTCGTCGATGCTGGCACCTACGACTTTGCAGACTCGCGCGCTGCCGCCACTTCGCCGCTCGCACGCCAGCTCCTGCGCATCCAGGGCGTCAACCGCGTCTTCTTTGCTCAAAAGTTCATCTCCATCAACAAGGCCGACGAAGGTACAACAGTTCGTGGTCGAGAGGGGATGTGGCCAACGCACGGAGGATTTCTTTCACCGCGTTCGCACATGCTGACATCGATGTGGATGGAGTCGCAGGCTGGTGACAATGTTGTTGCCTTGCTGCTATGCTCATGGTTTGAGAGCTCAACCGATTGTTTGTGGGCGCGTTGTTTGGTGCGTAACTCCCTCATCAGCCGAATGGCCTGTGCTCAAGCCGGAAATCTACGCAACCATCATGGACTTTTTCGCAAGCGGACTGCCCGTAGTGGTGCGTCTTCCACGGACTGTTTTATCTTTGTTTCAGGAGGAACAAAGAGGGGGGGGGCGGGTCTCGATGTTGTTGGCTTACCTGGTTTTGGTTTTTGGTTTTTCTTCGTGATGATGCAGGAAGCACCAAAGACAACCGAAGAAGCAGCTACTGAAGAGAACGAAACAGTTAGCATGATCAAAGAGCTGCTAGATAGCCGTATTCGCCCGATGGTGCAAGAGGACGGCGGTGACATCGAGTTCAAGGTACTGGTTTTTTTTTTTTTTTTGTTTGCTAGTGCCCTTTGAGCACTTCTTCTCGCTCTCTTTGCGTCGCTTTGTGCTGGTTTTCAAACCTCATTCGCCAACACTTCACTGTGCCCTGTTGGGGTCCCAACGACGATAATGACGACGACAACAGAGCTTTGAGAACGGCGTCGTCAAGCTCAAGCTGATTGGCTCGTGCAGCACTTGCCCTTCGTCCAAGGCCACCCTATACGACGGCGTCTCCAACATGCTGATGCACTACGTTCCAGAGATTGAAAAGATTGAACAAGTTGAAGACGAAGTGGACGAAATTTCCAACGCGCAGCTCGAAAAGCTCGAAGATCGTCTCGAGGATCGCATCCGCACCAAGCCAACCACCCCCGCGCCATCCTCTGCATGATTGCGTGTCGCCTTGTGTGTGTGTGTTTTTTGGTATTGTGGGGGGGGAGGGCCTAGTGTTCAGCGCAGTTGGGTGCTTGTGCTTTGGCAGTAAAACCGAGCTTCCTTTCAATACACTTTGTTCTTCTCTCTGCCACTGAATCCTTCGTATCTGTTCGTTTGGGGTGTGTGTTTGTGTGTTTGTGTTTGTATTTCTGATCGTGTTTGAGTGTTCTCAGTCCTTCATCCTTGTTTTATCATGCTGTCCTTTGCTTCTTGTTCTTGCTCGCTGTCTTCTGCTGCTGCTGCGCCACTCCGACGCACTCTGCTGTACTCCGCGACCACTGCTCCACATCTCACCACCACCACCACCACCACCATCATCAGTGGTAGTAGTCCAAGCAGCAGCAGCAGCAGCAGCAGCAGTCTCCATACGAGCGAGTCGGCTGCTGTCGGCGTTGTCATCGCCG